TAGATTCTGGAGCAGTGGAAAAGCATTCTCTGGAGTGATGAATCACTCTTCACCATCTGGCTGTCCAACGGACAAATCTGGGCTTGGCGGATGCCAGGAGAACGCTACCTGCCCCTGGTGGATGAGGAATAATGGTCTGGGGCTGTTTTTCATGGTTCGGGCTAGGCCCCTTAGTTCCAGTGAAGGGAAATCTTAATGCTACAGCATACAATTACATTCTAGACGATTCTGTGCTTCCAACTTTGTGGCAACAGTTTGGGGAAGGCCCTTTCCTATTTCAGCATGACAATGCCCCCATGCACAAAGCGAGGTCCATACAGAAATGGTTTGTCGAGATCAGTGTGGAAGAACCTGACTGGCCTGCACAGAGCCCTGACCTCAACCACATCGAACACCTTTTGGATGAATCGCCCCAACATCAGTGCCCGACCTCACTAATGCTCTTGTGGCTGAATGGAAGCAAGTCCCCGCAGCAATGTTCCAACATCTAGTGGAAAGCCTTCCCAGAAGAGTGGAGGCTGTTATTGCAGCAAATGTGGGGCCAACTCCATATTTAATGCCCATGATTTGGAATGAGATATTAGACGTGCAGTTGTCCAGTATTCATCCCCCTTGGCATTTTTCCTATTTTGTTGCATTACAACCCGTAATTTAAATTGATTTTTATTTGTATTTCATGTAATGGACATACACAAAATAGTCCAAATTGGTGAAGTGAAAAAAATAACTTGTTTCAAAGAATTCTAAAAAATAAATAACGGAAAAGTGGTGCGTGCATATGTATTCACCCCATTTGCTATGAAGCCCCTAAATAAGATCTGGTGCAACCAATTACCTTCAAAGTCACATAATCACCTGTGTGCAATCTAAGTGTCACATGATCTGTCACATGATCTCAGTATATATACACCTGTTCTGAAAGGCCCAGAGTCTGCAACACCACTAAGCAAGGGGCACCACCAAGCAAGCGGCAACATGAAGACCAAGGAGCTCTCCAAACAGGTCAGGGACAAAGTTGTGGAGAAGTACAGATCAGGGTTGGGTTACAAAAAATATCTGAAACTTTGAACATCCCACGGAGCACCATTAAATCCATTATTAAAAAATGGAAAGAATATGGCACCACAACAAACCTGCCAGGAGAGGGCCGCCCACCAAAACTCACGGACCAGGCAAGGAGGGCATTAATCAGAGAGGCAACAAAGAGACCAAAGATAACCCTGTAGGAGCTGCAAAGCTCCACAGCGGAGATTGGAGTATCTGTCCATAGGACCACTTTAAGCCGTACACTCCACAGAGCTGGGTTTTACGGAAGAGTGGCCAGAAAAAAAGCCATTGCTTAAAGAAAATAATAAGCAAACAAGTTTGGTGTTCGCCAAAAGGCATGTGGGAGACTCCCCAAACATATGGAAGAAGGTACTCTGGTCAGATGAGACTAAAATTGAGCTTTTTGGCCATCAAGGAAATGCTATGTCTGGCGCAAACCCAACACCTCTCATCACCCCGAGGGATGTTTTTCATCGGCAGGGACTGGGAAACTGGTCAGAATTGAAGGAATGATGGATGGCGCTAAATACAGGGAAATTCTTGAGGGAAACCTGTTTCAGTATTCCAGAGATTTGAGACTGGGACGGAGGTTCACCTTCCAGCAGGACAATGACCCTAAGCATACTACTAAAGCAACACTCGAGTGGTTTAAGGGGAAACATTTAAATGTCTTGGAATGGCCTAGTCAAAGCCCAGACCTCAATCCAATTGAGAATCTGTGGTATGACTTAAAGATTGCTGTACACCAGCAGAACCCATCCAACTTGAAGGAGTTGAAGCAGTTTTTCCTTGAAGAATGGGCAAAAATCCCAGTGGCTACAGTGAGGGAAAAAAGTATTTGATCCCCTGCTGATTTTGTACGTTTGCCTACTGACAAAGAAATGATCAGTCTATAATTTTAATGGTAGGTTTATATGAACAGTGAGAGACAGAGTAACAACAACCAAATCCAGAAAAATGCATGTCAAAAATTTAACAAATTGATTTGCATTTTAATTAGGGAAATAAGTATTTGACCCCCTCTCAATCAGAAAGATTTCTGGCTCCCAGGTGTCTTTTATAATAATAATAATAATATGCCATTTAGCAGACGCTTTTATCCAAAGCGACTTACAGTCATGCGTGCATACATTTTTGTGTATGGGTGGTCCCGGGGATCGAACCCACTACCTTGGCGTTACAGGCGCCGTGCTCTACCAGCTGAGCTACAGAGGAGTGCTCCTAATCTCAGCTTGTTACCTGTATAAAAGACACCTGTCCACAGAAGCAATCAATCAATCAGATTCCAAACTCTCCACCATGGCCAAGACCAAAGAGCTTTCCAAGGATGTCAGGGACAAGATTGTAGACCTACACAAGGCTGGAATGGGCTACAAGACCATCACCAAGCAGCTTGGTGAGAAGGTGACAACAGTTGGTGCGATTATTCGCAAATGGAAGAAACACAAAAGAACTGTCAATCTCCCTCGGCCTGGGGCTCCATGCAAGATCTCACCTCGTGGAGTTGCAATGATCATGAGAACGGTGAGGAATCAGCCCAGAACTACACGGGAGGATCTTGTCAATGATCTCAAGGCAGCTGGGACCATAGTCACCAAGAAAAAAATTGGTAACACACTACGCCGTGAAGGACTGAAATCCTGCAGCGCCCGCAAGGTCCCCCTGCTCAAGAAAGCACATATACAGGGCCGTCTGAAGTTTGCTAATGAACATCTGAATGATTCAGAGGAGAACTGGGTGAAAGTGTTGTGGTCAGATGAGACCAAAATCGAGCTCTTTGGCATCAACTCAACTCGCCGTGTTTGGAGGAGGAGGAATGCTGCCTATGACCCCAAGAACACCATCCCCACCGTCAAACATGGAGGTGGAAACATTATGCTTTGGGGGTGTTTTTCTGCTAAGGGGACAGGACAACTTCACCGCATCAAAGGGACGATGGATGGGGCCATGTACCATCAAATCTTGGGTGAGAACCTCCTTCCCTCAGCCAGGGCATTGAAAATGGGTCGTGGATGGGTATTCCAGCATGACAATGACCCAAAACACACGGCCAAGGCAACAAAGGAGTGGCTCAAGAAGAAGCACATTAAGGTCCTGGAGTGGCCTAGCCAGTCTCCAGAGCTAATCCCATAGAAAATCTGTGGAGGGAGCTGAAGGTTCGAGTTGCCAAACGTCAGCCTCGAAACCTTAATGACTTGGAGAAGATCTGCAAAGAGGAGTGGAACAAAATCCCTCCTGAGATGTGTGCAAACCTGGTGGCCAACTACAAGAAACGTCTGACCTCTATGATTGCCAACAAGGGTTTTGCCACCAAGTACTAAGTCATGTTTTGCAGAGGGGTCAAATACTTATTTCCCTCATTAAAATGCAAATCAATTTCTAACATTTTTGACATGCGTTTTTCTGGATTTTTGTTGTTGTTATTCTGTCTCTCACTGTTCAAATAAACATACCATTAAAATTATAGACTGATCATGTCTTTGTCAGTGGGCAAACGTACAAATCAGCAGGGAATCAAATACTTTTTTCCCTCACTGTAGATGTGCCAAGCTTATAGAGACATAACCCAAGAGACTTGCAGCTGTAATTGCTGCAAAAGGTGGCTTTGTTTCACAAGAAAAAATATTTTGCATCTTCAAAGTGGAAGGCATGTTGTGTAAATCAAATGATACAAACCCCCCAAAAATCAATTTTAATTCCAGGTTGTAAGGCAACAAAATAGGAAAAATGCCAAGGGGGGTGAATACTTTCGCAAGCCACTGTAGGCTTGCCATAACCAAGAGGTTGAATACTAATTGACTCAAGACATTTCAGCTTTTTATTTTTAATTAATTTCTAAACATTTTTAAAAAAACATCCACTTTGACATTATGGGGTATTGTGTGTAGGCCAGTGACACAAAATCTAAATTGAATCCATTGTAAATTCAGGCTGTAACGCAACAAAATGTGGAAAAGGTCACAGGCTGATTCCTACAGCATACAAGAAACGTTGACTGCGTCCAAAATGGCAACCTATCCCCCTTATATAGTGCACTACTTCTGGCCAATAGGTGTCTTGTAAAAAGTAGTGGACTATATAGGGGGTAGGGTGCCATTTTGGATGCATCCTTTCTCCTTGGTGTGACCTGAGGTCTGAGAGCCAAAGGGAATTACTACATTTCCAAAGGGCAGGGGGAAGCTTTAAAGGGCAGTTCAGTGCATATACGTGTGTGTGTGTGTTTAACTGATGATGTCCAGGGTGAAATTCGGCACCTGACTCCTTCTAAATAACACCTTCCAGACAGTCCCTCCTCTCAGAAAAGCTTTAGAGAGGGACTGTACTGTGTTTGCTTGGACGTAGATCTTGAGATTATGGTAAGGATACAGCTACAAGGTTGACTCCTGCAGAAGTCCCAAAAAATTGTCAGAACCTGTCTCAGTCAAAAACAATGTAAATCAGGGGAGTCACTTGGAGGAATGTGAATAATCTCCATACCTAAAACACACATTAACACAGTGTGGCTTCAGGCTTTGCAACAATATTTTATTACCTTTTACCAAGAGTAGAAATTTACAAAAAAAAAACGATTGAAAGATGAAAACAGCCCCCATGAACTTTAAGATGAACTCAAAAATTAATTGTAAAATAATTATTCACAAGAATAATAAATATCAGTCAGTGGGCAGAATAGAGGCTATTGTCTGTCAGCTCAGTGTGGCTAGCAACAGCATTTAACCAATATTTCAGCTCTATTGGAAAAGCAGAGGTTTTTTGTACTCTATTAATATAGAAGCATCTTGTCTTCTAAGAGGATTTTTACAAAGTACCTTACCAGTGACGAATAAAACCAAGAGGAAAATTAAATCAGTGCAGAGTGATCCACTCCTTACAACCAGTGTCCCTGCAGAGAGAGAATGCTACCCTATTCCCTATAGTACACTACTATGGGCCCTGGTCAAAAGTAGTGCGCTATATAGGGAATAGGTTGCCATTTGAGATGCACACAGCCCGTATGTCACCTCTGAGAGGCAGAGAGGAGGTGATGAGGCTTTGATTCTCCCCAGGGTGGGTCACTCCATGGCCCGTACGGTCTCCTCTGGGTTTTGGGTTGCCGTGGCATTGGTGTAGGTGGGCACGCTGTATTTGGTGAGCACTGACTTGAACTGGTCCAGCGTAGCGTCGGTTCGCACCCCTGTCGGGTCAAAGTGGGTGCGGCTTACTCTGAAGCCCGCCTCCGTCAAGTACTGCAGGAACCTATTCAACCTGGAGAGAGGGGGACAGATGGATGAGAGGAGCTAGAACATATACTTTACGTTGAGCTCTTATATTTGTGTAATAAGACTGTAATAACATAATATCAACTAAACCTGATTTAGAACCTCAGAGCTCTAAAGTGGAAGGTGGAAGCACTGTGGCAACCCTTTATAAGTTTGAAAACTGCTACCGAAAACCCCTGGAAACTGACGCGTTTCGACCTCAAGCGATCTTTGTCAAAGTTGTGACATAGTGTTAGGGCTCAGGGGTCACTCACTTGGGCATGTTCATGCCTCTGATGCTGTGGCGGTGAATACCGTAGTAGAACGCTGGGTGCTCCAGAGACCCGTCTGATTTCAGCTTCTTCACCACGTTACCTGGCTCATCTCCTGTCTTTCTCTTTCCTGTGTTACATTAAAATAACATTTCTACAACATATTGAATAACATTTCTACAACATAAAGCAACATAGCATCCAGTCTGAAAATACCTATTGTTGTAGACAGGTGAAAGCCCTATTGTTGTAGACAGGTGAAAGCCCTATTGTTGTAGACAGGTGAAAGCCCTATTGTTGTAGACAGGTGAAAGCCCTATTGTTGTAGACAGGTGAAAGCCCTACTGTTGTAGACAGGTGAAAGCCCTACTGTTGTAGACAGGTGAAAGCCCTACTGTTGTAGACAGGTGAAAGCCCTACTGTTGTAGACAGGTGAAAGCCCTACTGTTGTAGACAGGTGAAAGCCCTACTGTTGTAGACAGGTGAAAGCCCTACTGTTGTAGACAGGTGAAAGCCCTACTGTTGTAGACAGGTGAAAGCCCTACTGTTGTAGACAGGTGAAAGCCCTACTGTTGTAGACAGGTGAAAGCCCTATTGTTGTAGACAGGTGAAAGCCCTATTGTTGTAGACAGGTGAAAGCCCTACTGTTGTAGACAGGTGAAAGCCCTATTGTTGTAGACAGGTGAAAGCCCTATTGTTGTAGACAGGTGAAAGCCCTATTGTTGTAGACAGGTGAAAGCCCTATTGTTGTAGACAGGTGAAAGCCCTATTGTTGTAGACAGGTGAAAGCTCTATTGTTGTAGACAGGTGAAAGCCCTATTGTTGTAGACAGGTGAAAGCCCCTCTCTTTATAACAGAATGTGTGTCTTGTTACCTGAGTGGTCAGCAGTCCCTGACTCTTCCACCTTCTGTACCTTGATGACTACACCACATTCCACTGGAGAGGAGAGGAAACATACAACATGTCAATAGAATACCTTACCCACCCGCCCCCTCCACATACACACACCCACGACCCTGGAGATTACCTTGGTTGGTGAGTGCAGTGTGCCCGTGAACAGAGGACTTGAGGGTGGTGCACTCTGACTCACAGATCAGAGTCTTGACCAGAGGCTGAATATCCTCCATACTGTGCTGCACCGCTGCAAACAACATCCTCCTCAGGAACCCTGTGTTAAACAGAGGGCCAGACCTGGGGGGAAAAACACATGCAGGTTACAGTTAAACACTTAAAGATGGAGGCTTACCAGAACTACACTGGTTCAAATATTGGCTATCACCCAATATATGCAAAAAGTTCTACCATAGTGGCCCCAGCTCCACCGCTGTCTTGCCAGGCATGCTCCCATGACAGGTGCAGGGCAGTTGTCTGTACAGGTTTTCTGTAGGAGGAAAAAAAACTACAGAGTGACTTCAAATTCCCCTCCACCTCCTCTTTTCCTCTCAGAAACACCTCAACCATTTCCAGACGTACCCTCTACTTAACCTACTTACCCTCCACCATGCTCCCCTGTTTGAGGAACACCCTCTCCTCACACCACTGGCAGTGGATGAGCTGTCTGATCCTCTTGGCTGACTCGTCGGCCTGGGTGGGACCCCTGAGGACTCTGACGACCACCAGGACAAAGTGTTCAACCGCCACCGCCAGCAACACTTCTATGCCCTTATTACAGCGTGCCGCAGCCCTGAAGGAATACACGCATGAGACAGATGCATGAAATACTACACACTGAAACACACACACACACACACGTTACACTCTCACTGCCAGCAGCGTCTCAAAGCCACCCCAAAGAAAAACACACACAAGTTAAACAAAGACATACACAATGAAAATGTTCCACACACAGTCACACACAGTAATTTCCCCGTACCCAGTCATTCAGTGGTAAATCAGCTGAGAGTATTCCACATACCTGGCTACAGCGGACAGCACCATGCGTGCAGCCAGCTCCTTATAGTACTCTGTGCGGACTATATTCGAGCCATAGTGACGCATGGTGACGTTCAGGGACTTGGAGTAGAGAGAGCCCGTGTCCGTGGACGTCACAGAGATGATGCCCAGGTTACGGATGTTCCGGAACGCAGAGTCCAGATAATTGACCGCCGTGCCGAATGGGTCCAGGTGTCTGAGGGGGGTCGCCATGGAAACAACAGTTGGTTTGTGTTCGGTTTGACGGATAATCTGAAGCATCTATAGAACCACTGCTGGCCATAATATACTGTAAATAGGGTTATTGTAAGAGTATGACAAAACATTGGGCTCGGAATCCTTCTAGACTGAGTGATTGGTTGATAAACAGAGGAGACAGATAAGAACACGTCTCCTTGAGGGAGATCTGTCGACGTGCCCTTGAGCAGGGTGTTGACCCTGGTTGCTTCTGTGCGTCGCTCTGGATGGGATTCTGTTAGATGACTGATGTGATGTAGTTGTTGAGCGGCTTCACTGCAAGTATATTGTATGTTTTAAATATTCAATCAAATTTTTTTTTTAAAGAACAAAAAAGAAAGAAGAGGTGACGTCTCCTGCTACAGAGCTGCACCCCTAACAATAAGATGTTCCCTCCCTAGCTCCTCCCACCACCCCTATCAATAAGACGTTCTCTCCCTAGCTCCTCCCACCACCCCTAACAATAAGATGTTCCCTCCCTAGCTCCTCCCACCACCCCTATCAATAAGACGTTCCCTCCCTAGCTCCTCCCACCACCCCTATCAATAAGACGTTCTCTCCCTAGCTCCTCCCACCACCCCTAACAATAAGATGTTCCCTCCCTAGCTCCTCCCACCACCCCTATCAATAAGACGTTCCCTCCCTAGCTCCTCCCACCACCCCTATCAATAAGACGTTCCCTCCCTAGCTCCTCCCACCACCCCTATCAATAAGACGTTCCCTCCCTAGCTCCTCCCACCACCCCTATCAATAAGACGTTCCCTCCCTAGCTCCTCCCACCACCCCTATCAATAAGACGTTCCCTCCCTAGCTCCTCCCACCACCCCTATCAATAAGACGTTCCCTCCCTAGCTCCTCCCACCACCCCTATCAATAAGACGTTATCTCCCTAGCTCCTCCCACCACCCCTATCAATAAGACGTTCCCTCCCTAGCTCCTCCCACCACCCCTATCAATAAGATGTTCCCTCCCTAGCTCCTCCCACCACCCCTATCAATAAGACGTTCCCTCCCTAGCTCCTCCCACCACCCTTATCAATAAGACGTTCCCTCCCTAGCTCCTCCCACCACCCCTATCAATAAGACGTTCCCTCACTAGCTCCTCCCACCACCCCTATCAATAAGACATTTCCTCCCTAGCTCCTCCTACTCACATGTAGTCAAAAGACCTCAGGTGCATGATAACGTTGGCATCCATCTTGGCGACCTCCACGGTAGCGATGGGCACCCCGTCCACGTCCCCCGCCCCCCCGTCAGGGACCCGCGATGACCCCCGCGACCCCTCCACCCGGATGTGGTTGAGGTTGCAGTTCTCACGGATCATCTTGACACACACCTCATTGATGTCGGTTATGGTCACCTTGACGGCGTTCCGCAGGTGCTTGGCCCACTGGAGCCCCATAATGCCTGTGGCCCCAAACGCATCCAGACTCTCCAACGGGTTCCTCTCCTCAGCCAGGACTGCCAGGGAACAGAATACTAGCTGCCTGTAACCCACATGCACCAACACTTCCAGTCAGTCACTGTTCTGTTACCAAACCAAATCAAATGGAACATTGTTAAAGAGGATATTCTTTGACCTGTTGGTCTTCATCTTGCGGTTGAAGTAGGTGTCAGTCTTCTGTGGGGTCGTATGGTTGGGCATGAGCTGAACATTTGTCCCCAGCTCTTTCATTATCTCATAGGCCTGTCCGGACGGAGCTGTCAACCAATTAGAAAAAGCGAGAGAATAAATGTTCAATCTGCATCTCCAACTGTGTATATAAGGGTTGTGTTTTGTGTTTTGGTTAAGGTTGGTGAGAGCTCACCTGGCTCCTCAAAGGGCACATCAGAGCTGCCTGAGTAGCTGGCCTCAGTCTCTCCCTTGTTGACGTGGCGTTTCAGGTGACTGATCATGTCCGTCTTGCGGGCGATGGTGACAGAACACACTACACAGTGGTAATGGGCCACCAGCCGGCCTGGAGCCTGGGGGAGAACACATACACACACGCACGTCTATCGTAGTACCATGCTTCATACAGTCACTTTCATGCAATTTGAGTTGATTTGGAAAGAAAAAAATGAAGACACTGTGGAGACAAGTGGCCCTCATTCATTTCTGGTGTTATTTATCAGGTGTGATGGACAGAGTCTCACCTGGTCTCCATTGGGGCTGGGGCTGGGCCTCAGCTGTCTGCAAGGCAGGTGACAGATGCACATCTTCTGACCTGTGGGGGGTCAGAGGTTATTGTAGGTCATCATCAGGGCCCATCGTAATACCAGTTTATGCCATATCCCTTGAAAACCTTCCCATAACTGTACTGCTGCCAGCACTGGGGTGTCATTTAACTCCAGTGTTACACTCCACTGACTGACAGTTAATAATATGACAACCTTTACTAGTGATTCCATTGGGGCTCTGCAGTCGGCATAAAAACATGTAGAGTGGCAAGACTGTTGGTGAGGAATAGGAAGCCTAAATCTCTACAAGTTGCACAACTCACTCATTGACTTTCCTAAAGCAGTTCTGCTCACATCCGGCAGGTAGTCTAGCAGTTTAAGAGCGTTGTGCCAGTAACCAAAAGGTCGCTGGTTCGAATCTTAACCCTAATTGCTCCTGTAAGTCGCTCTGGATAAGAGCATCTGTTAAATGACTAAAATATAAATACAAAATACATCCCACTTGGCAAACACTGGTTCACTTAAATTATGTGGAATAGATGTTGAATTGACATATGTGCCAAGTGTGATAGCTCTGACTACCATTCATATGGAACTTGGAAAGGAAAGTACTGATCCTCTCACTATCCAAAAACCTGTTAACACCTACATAGAGCTGAGTCAACCAAGCCGTGTGCTAACGGTAGAGACTCAGCAGGTGGGAAGACAACAACACCAGTTCCTCTGTGTGTGTGTGTGTTTGCGCACATGCATACCGTAGAGCGTATAGCAGTATCATCTTTGTGTGGTGATGATGGTGGTACCTTCAAACTCCACATAGACCTTCCAGTGGAGGTTCTGGAGGTGGCGTCGTAGCTTGTGGCTGTAGCAGGCCTTAAACTTCTCCTCAGGGCATAGTGGACACGCCTTCCTCCCAGCTGTGGAAAACAGAGAGAGAGATAGAGCAAAGAGATTGGAACTGGTAAATACAAAAGCATAGGAGGGAAGACTCTTTATATATTTATTTTTTAGGAAAAATAATCTTACCTCCATTTAGGTCGGTCAGCGCCTCCAGGCCCTCTAGTTTGGTCTGGATAGAGATGTGTCTATCTGTAACATTAGTATTGAAAGGATCGTTAAACAAAAACCTATATTTATGGTCATACTCATCATCTAGAATCAAAGGCAACTGAATGTATTCAAATAATGTATGGGTACTGGACTCATTTCTGGGTCTATACAGTGAATGGTGTTTTTATTACCGCTGGTTGTGGTTGATGGTTTGGCATCATTGTCCCCTGCCAGTGCCTCAGTCTTCCCCACAGTACTACTTGCTGAAGATACATCATCCTCGGCAGGCTGTCTCTCTTCCGGGACCAGTGTGTCTGAGTCTCCACCACCTAATGGACAAGTTTAGACTGGACTAGATCAGAATATCATACCCCCAATGATTAATAGAGAGTCATTTCAAACATGTATATTGGGAAATAATTAATTGTGTGTTTTTCCCAAGATTTGTTGAGTCACACAAGTTAGTGATGCTCATAGCCTCCTAGACAACATAAATGTTAAAAGCTTACCTGGTTTCTAAATGAGAAACATGCACTGGACTAAAATAGTTCCTATGATTTTCTTTCGTATTTTTAAATTGTCTTTGGGGAAAGGGGGGAAGAGACAATATAGCTTGTCAGAATTAAATGCGCGGTGCGATGATGTAAGTAGGTTGGGTCTAGAAATTGTGAACCGCTGCAACCCCTACGGTCCTATTGCGGAGCTCCGTGACCAGACCATTGCTACGTAAAATATAAAAGGAGGACAAATGTAAATCGAAGTGTTTAATCAATACAATGTGAAGACAGTTCGATAAATGTACGTTATTTGTAATAACTACGTTTTTCACGCCAGCTTATTTCCTGTTATCAAGATTATTTACTACTAGGTCCCATGGCGGAGCTCCGTGGTGAGGCCCTCATTTACTTCAGCAGTTAAAAAGTCGAAATCAAGGCATATTTACTTCATAATAAGGATGCTGGAAGTATATTTTATTATGTATAAATTAATGTTGTCTTTAATTTTCACTAAAATACAGACAGTCGTAGTTTTCTAACCTTTTATATCGACGTCCTCCTGGTGTAGTTGTTCGGTGTCTCCTTCCTTGAGCTCCGCCATTTTACTAAAGTACAGAGAAATACGCAGGCTATGCTTTTTACTCCCACTACGCAAATTGCGTAAACCTTCATTTTAATCACTTTTTATTATTATTTGAAGACAATATTTTTTTTTACAAGAAACAACGAGATAACAATTATAGGATATGATAACAAAATGAAGACATCTAAGATATCTGGGGAAAATATATACAATACACTTACTACGCAATAGCCTCCTCACTTGATTATCCTTAAAGGGGCAATCAGCAATTGCTACATACATTATTTTTGGACATAAATTAATGATACGGACCTATTGATTTTTTAGGAATATAACTTATATATGCCTAATGAGCATAGTTTAACGGTCTTACCCCATCACAATCCAAAATATAAGCTTGTTTTACTCCAATATTTTTAAACAAAGTAAATGTAAACGAACACTGCATAGCCTTAAAACATGGTTAAAACTATAACATTGATATCATGGATGGTCAGTCCTTGCAACCATAGCTATGTCTATGAATTTGAGAGCGATTGCATTTCTCCAGCCCCATCCCTCAGTTTTTAACCGAAAGAGTGGCGGGGTATAATTTGTTATTGTTTCAACTGCTGATTAGCCCTTAAAACAAAATATGATAAATGTGTTATGAAGAATCTACTATCCTTTATATTAACTTTTGTCCACTATATAAAAATTCACATTTCTGAACCGTCATATATGTAAGTCTAAAAACTACACATCCCATGATCCTCCAGAACCTCTGTTTCCGTTGCATGTGACGTAACGGATGTTTTCTGACAGTGGTCTACTCAGTAGCCCAAGGTAAGCGTGATTGTAGGGCTTTAGTAAATCTTCTTAGTCAGTATCTCATTTAAATGCATTTGTCATTGGAAGTTGCTCACATTGTGATAAAACCAGTGTTGTGGACACGTTCAGTAAGTTCATTATGAGTGTCGTGGGTCTATCACACGTGATGATTTTGATTTGGAACAATGGCTAGCTAGAAAGCTAGGATCTCCTAACGTAAGCAACTGTGTAACTTTACTGTAACTGCCAGTTCATTCTAAGATAGCTGACTTAGCTAAATACATTGAAGTAAATATTCAATAACATTGATTTTACTAGGTATGTATTCAGCTAGCTACATTCACAGAACTCTATTTGAGCAGTTAGCCTCATGTTTCTTCTCCATGCTTCCCCACAAATTACATTCGGACTGCATTGTATCACTGCAAGTTTCAGGGGAACATTGCATAGGTAGCTAGCCAATGAGAGATCTTGAAGTATCTCTCAGTGATCTGAAGTATCTCTGTGAGGTCAAAACATTGACTCTCCAGTCTCCATTGGAAGTTGGATTCAGAGATAATCTGTCTTGTATTCTTTGAATGAAGGATGATTTTGTTATAAGAAGAGAACACCTCAGCTGCTATTTTGTTAATTTTCTGTATAGGTTTCTCTTATTTAACAGGAATTTTCTACCAAGATGTCAAAGAAGTCCAAGAAGAAGAAGAAGCAGAAGAAGGAGACAGATAAGTTATCTTCTTCCTCCAGTGAGGTGAGGAGCTTGCTGACATTTGTTATTGTGACCTCAGAGTCGTCTCTTACATCTCTTACTAGGAGTGTTAACCAAGGCTAAAGGTGTGTTTTTGTTTTGTGCTGAATCCAGCAGTCGTCACAGAAGCAAAAGGGCACCAAGAAACGCAGTAGTGCAGAGGGGAAGCACCATGGCAGCTGTTCTTCCGAGGAGAAACGGGGGAGAGAGAAAGGAGTTAGCCACTACACCCCAGGGAATAGGGCAGCAGGGAGCAGTGACAAGAAAGACCGGGAGTTCAAGAAAGCTCTCTACAGACAGGGGAAAACTACCTCACAAGGTGCAGCGGAGGGAAAAAACGCCGGTCCGCTTGGAACCCTTTCTCAGGACAGCTCTGTGAGGAAGAGTTGCCCCAGCCAGGATGGGTTGGCTACCTCAGGGGTCAGGACCGCAGACAGAATGTCCTCCAAACCAGTCAGCAGTCAGAGTGCGAATAAGACCCAGTCCCAAAATGTGGAGAAGATCCATACGTCCCAGGGAAGCTCCAGTAAGCCATCCCAGGGAAGCTCCAGTAAGCCATCCCAGGGAAGCTCCAGTAAGCCATCCCAGGGAAGCTCCAGTAAGCCATCCCAGGGAAGCTCCAGTAAGCCATCCCAGGGACGCTCCAGTAAGCCATCCCAGAAGAGCCCCTCCAAAACAGCCTCGAGCAGACTGCCGACGAGTCCCAGGTCCCTCATGGCCCAGCTGAAGGAGCAGAGGAAGACACTGGTGAAAAGGAGGTCCAGACCTGAGGAGAAGCCTGGCACTGGGAAGGACCACACCTTCCAAGGTAGGAGCTCCCAGGAACCCCAGCTGTCCCTGTCACTGGCTGAGGAGATGAGGGAGAAGAGGAGGAAGCTAGTGAAGAGGAGATCTGAAGAAGAGAGGGAGGATGTGCTAAAGGCTAAACGGGACCAGAGTGGAGCAAAACCCTACAGTCTTCCCTCTAACACCACCATCAAGCAGTCTTCCACCTCTACTAAAAACACTACCTTTGAGAAAATCTCAAACACAGCAAGACATAGGCCTGCCTCCCAAAAGCAGGAGAATGTCTCTGATCTGTCCAAAACATCCAAGACATCTAAGTCCACGTGTGCCAAGGTAGAGATGCCACTACCCAAACCTCAGCTGCCTCTCAATTTTAAGATCCCAAAGAAGGCCAAACTTGTGCCACTGCCAGTTAATAGTGCCATCTGGGGGGGTGACCAGGAGGATAGTAATGACAATAAGACCATCAGTGCTCGAGCGAAGGTGGTGTCTCCTGCTTCTAGGCTTTCTCACCACACAGGGAGTGCGTCCAAACTTTGGACACCAAGGAGTGTGTCCAAACTTTGGACACCAAGGAGTGTGTCCAAACTTTGGACACCAAGGACTGTGTCCAAATCTTTGGACTCAAAAGACGGTGTGTCGGCTGCTGTGAACAGAAACAAGCAGCACAAATGTGAAACGGTTCCAGAATCTTCCAAAGGTTCTAAAGAATTACAGCCCAGTTCAGCTCAAGGGATGACATCACCACCCTGTAACAGAACAACATCCCCTGAAGATTATATAGAAGTCTATGATAATGACCAAGAGGTAGGTTTCTCAACATCATGACCAATTATTGATGTGTGTGAGTGGGTGCGTGCGTGTGTCCGTAAGCTTGCGTACAGTGGGGTGTGTGTGTGTGTGTGTGTGTGTGTGTGTGTGTGTGTGTGTGTGTGTGTGTGTGTGTGAACACGTCCTCTGTGTCTGCTAGATGCAGCTGGTGGAGGAGCTCCATCTGGCCCGCAGTGAGAAGAGGCTGGAGCTGAATGTGGTTGAGATCTATGGAGAACTCACCAGCATGGACATCGACCCATCAGAGGAGGGCGCCACATTCACATTCAGTGAGAGAACCACCACTAACAAACCCTCCGCACCTACAAGCCAAACAATTACAGAGACATTATGCCTTGAGCCAAGTGTTTTAATAGAAGGAATATAAGACATTAGATTTGCCCGTCAGGGCCTTCCTCCTCCTCAGTATGCACATAAGGCCATCGGGGACGAACTCAGTATTAAAACCCTGCTCTCTGGTCACCTGTGTAGGTAAGGAGGAGGATCTTCAGCAGGATCTGATCGTTGTCCTGGACACCAACATCCTTCTCAGTCACCTAGACTTCGTCAAGAAGATAAGGTCACACGGCCTTGGAGGTGTGTGGAAGTGGAAGGGACACTGTTTAAAAAATGACTAGATTCAATAAATCCCACTACCCCAATTCCAATCACTCATAGAACACAGTTCTCATTTTGATCAACTCTCTCCTTCATCTCCCTGCTCCTGCTCCTCCTCCTCCACTCTTCCTCAACCTTCTTCTATTCCCCCCCTCTCCTCTCCCCCTCCGACACTTCTCCTCCTCCCCCTCCTCCTCCTCATCTCCCCTCCCCTCCCTACCTCTCCTCCCCCACCCATCCTCCACCTGTCCTCCCCCACCTCTCCTTCTCCCACACCTCCTCCCCCACCTTTCCTCCTCCTCCCCTGTCTCCCCCTCCTCCTCCCCATCTCCCCTCCCCTCCCTACCTCTCCTCCCCCACCCATCCTCCACCTGTCCTCCCCCACCTCTCCTTCTCCCACACCTCCTCCCCCACCTTTCCTCCTCCTCCCCTGTCTCCCCCACCTCCTCCTCCTCCCCCTCCTCCCCCTCTCCTCCCTCAGCTCTAGGTCTCCCCACAGTGCTAGTACCCTGGGTGGTACTACAGGAGCTAGATTCTCTGAAGAACAGGAAGAGGCTGTCCAGCTCTGTAGCCCACCTGGCCACACCTGCCGTTCATTACATCTACACCTGCCTGAAGAGCCAGGAGCCTCGGCTCTGGGGCCAGTCCATGCAGCAGGCCTCTCAGAGCAGCCGTGAGTCCCCTATGTATTTTCTCCATTGGCACCAACTGAATGATAGTTCCTCTGGACTGCCACCTGGTGGCGATAGCGGCATAGTGCTATTTCAACTCAGCGCACACAGCATCATAAAACTACTTGTTTCAATGACAAGCAGTCGCACTAGTAGAATCTCTCCCTTTCTGCAGAATCTCTCCCAAACTCCATTTGAACTGTCAGCAGTAACTAAGCGGGTTCACCTAAGCCGACAATAAAGCTTTTCTCTGTCTTCAGTGCTGAGGTGATGGTCATGACGCATGTCTCCTGTCCCCTCTCTCTCTGACAGAGGGACTCAATGTTGAGAATAATGACGACAGAGTGCTGCAGTGCTGCCTGCAATACCAGAGTCTTTACCGAGAGGGCGCTCTCATCCTCTGCACGTGAGTCCTCCCCCACCCACCTGCTGCAGTGTGTCTGCCTGTCTTTCTTTCCTCTGCAGATACATGCATGCAGGATAGGTTTGACTGTGTGTGTACCTGTCTGTAGATAGTTCTGTATGTGATATGGTGATGTTTGAGAGGGATACTGCTTGTCATCAGTATTCATTTCTTCATTTCACTATGGCAAAGGGATTCATTTCCGTTACAAGCTGTTTCACACTCTCTGGTCACACACTCTCTCTCTCTCTGTCTCTGTCTCTCTCTCACTCTGTCTCACTGTGTGTGTGACAAATGCATTTGTAGAAATCTCTTTCTGTCTGGTTGATTGACTGTGATTGTGTGTATGTCCACAGTAATGATAAGAACCTGTGTAGTAAGGCCCTGCTGAGTGGGGTGAAGGCCCTCAGTAAGGCTGACCTGGAGGAGGAGGTGGACAGGCTCAAAACGCCTGGTGTCCACAACCTGACCCCCGCCCCCACCCAACCCCACACACAGACCCCTATCAGCACACAGACCCTCATCCAGACCCGTGACCACCAGGAACCCAGCCCCTTCCCAGGCCGGCAGCAGAATGAACAGAGGAGGAGTGACGGAGGGAAAGAGAGAGGAATGGAAGAGGAGAAAAAGAAGGTTGCAGAAGAAGCCCGGGAGCTGAGCAGCTGCGTGTCAGTACTGGAGGACTGTCTGAAGGAGGCGCTGTCTCAGGTGCTGGAGGTTGAGATGAAGGCAGCCTATGAAGAACTGTGGACAGAGGTAAACGGTTTATATTTTTTGCAGTGGTGGCAACAATTTAGCAATAAAAGTCAGTCTAAAATGGCACAAGAAAATATTCATCCATAAATTCCTTTTGGGCAAAACATAATCCAAAACAAGTGCAAGTTTTTATAGTCACAAGATTGATGTAGTCATTGCGTGCAAGGAATATGGGACCAAATATTAAACTTTTGACTACTTTAATACACTATAAGGTAATTTGTCCAAATACTTATGACTTCTTCAAATGGTGAGACTAGATACATAAAGTGTTTTCATTTCTAAACGGTAAAACGGATATATATGAAAATGCAGTCAAATATAAACGGACATTCTCTACTGTCACCTAACATGAAACATTCTATCTCAAATATAAAATGATTGGGTATAGTGCCCCCCAAAAAATAAAAATGTGCCTCACTGTCCAAAGACATATGGACGGGAGTGTATATACAAGTACGTAAACTGATCAGATGTTGGCTATAATTTTGTAAACTACATTTTTGTTTGGATACGATAGATCGTATATCTGAAACCGCCCTGGACTCTTGAAGGCCTCCTGCAGTGTTTCAAGAAACACTGGATCTCTGTCTTTGGGAATATCGTCCCTCGGAATCTGCAGCAATCCCTGGAAAACCTTCACAACTTCTTCTTCTCAGGTGAGAAATCATGATGACATCACTGTCAGATTACAGCACTCTCAAAATGCAATCAAAGTCCCTCTTTGGGAACTACAGATGTAAATGAGCTGCTAGCTAAATCTGGTGCAACCCATCTTTTCTCAGTTACTAAGACTTTTTGGTTGTACATTGTCCAAATAAACTATAAATAATGGAAAAAAAACGATAGAATGTTATGCGTGTACTTTGCACTCTTTGATGGATACTAGTCAAAACAAAACAAAAAAACATGTATGCATTCACTAACTGTAAGTCGCTCTGGATAAGAGTGTCTGCTAAATGACTAAAATGTAAATGTAAATGTAGTACATTTGCATGCTGAAAATAAATAGATTCTGATAGCCCTTGATATGGGCCCAGTGCATTGTGCTGCTAATATAGTTATCCCTAGCTAAAGCACACAGTATTCAAGTTGACCGCACAGTGCTATACTGCCTACGCTAGTGGTCTTAGTGCTCTACAGAACTATATTCAGAAACGTGTGTCAGAAGCCATATGCTGACTGAGTGGCTAACTGCAGTAGCCATACTAAACATGCTGCTCAGTACTGCCCTGGCTAACTGCAGGAGCCATACTAAACATGCTGCTCAGTACTGCCCTGGCTAACTGCAGGAGCCATACTAAACATGCTGCTCAGTACTGCCCTGGCTAACTGCAGTACTGCCCTGGCTAACTGCAGGAGCCATACTAAACATGCTGCTCAGTACTGCCCTGGCTCTGTTTGTCCTGGCTAACTGCAGTAGCCATACTAAACATGCTGCTCAGTACTGCCCTGGCTAACTGCAGTACTGCCCTGGCTAACTGCAGTACTGCGCTGGCTAACTGCAGGAGCCATACTAAACATGCTGCTCAGTACTGCCCTGGCTCTGTTTGTCCTGGCTAACTGCAGAAGCCATACTAAACATGCTGCTCAGTACTGCCCTGGCTCTGTTTGTCCTGGCTAACTGCAGGAGCCATACTAAACATGCTGCTCAGTACTGCCCTGGCTCTGTTTGTCCTGGCTAACTGCAGGAGCCATACTAAACATGCTGCTCAGTACTGCCCTGGCTCTGTTTGTCCTGGCTAACTGCAGAAGCCATACTAAACATGCTGCTCAGTACTGCCCTGGCTCTGTTTGTCCTGGCTAACTGCAGGAGCCATACTAAACATGCTGCTCAGTACTGCCCTGGCTCTGTTTGTCCTGGCTAACTGCAGTAGCCATACTAAACATGCTGCTCAGTACTGCCCTGGCTCTGTTTGTCCTGGCTAACTGCAGTACTGCCCTGGCTAACTGCAGTAGCCATACTAAACATGCTGCTCAGTACTGCCCTGGCTCTGTTTGTCCTGGCTAACTGCAGTAGCCATACTAAACATGCTGCTCAGTACTGCCCTGGCTCTGTTTGTCCTGGCTAACTGCAGTACTGCCCTGGCTAACTGCAGTACTGCCCTGGCTAACTGCAGTACTGCCCTGGCTCTGTTTGTCCTGGCTAACTGCAGTACTGCCCTGGCTAACTGCAGTAGCCATACTAAACATGCTGCTCAGTACTGCCCTGGCTCTGTTTGTCCTTGTATTACATTAGCAGGTATTGTGTGAGTGTGTTCCCCTGTTCTTTCCATCATCTGTATAGCATGACTGGGCTTTCCCCCCCCCCTATTCTAATCTTGGGTGGACTAGCCAGGACTATTGGTGGGAGAGAGGTGGGGAGAGAGGAGGGGGAGGAAGGGAGTGGGAGAGAGAGAGAGGGAGTGGGAGAGCAGGAGGGAGGGAGTGGGAGAGCAGGAGGGAGGGAGGGAGGGAGTGGGAGAGAGTGATGGAGTGGGAGAGAGGGAGGGGGGGAGTGGGAGAGCGTTGAGGGGGAGGGAGGGAGTGGGAGAGCAGGAGGGTGGGAGAGCGGGAGGGAGGGAGTGGGAGAGAGAGAGAGGGAGGGAGTGGGAGAGAGAGAGAGGGAGGGAGTGGGAGAGAGAGGGATGAACGGTGTATATCGAGGAATCCAGAAGTGGAAAACTACTGCAGTGTGTTACTGTTTGTGTGTGCACAGTGTTTGCATGTGTGTGGGTGGATGTGCACGGAAGGGATGTGACATTAGGTATAAACAGACACAAACACCATCCAGCTAGTCTCTTTGGCAAAATGCCCTCTGCCTGTCCTCCTGCCTGTCCTCCTGCCTGTCCTCCTGCCTGTCCTCCTGCCTGCCCTCCTGCCTGTCCTCCTGCCTGTCCTCCTGCCTGTCCTCCTGCCTGCCCTCTGCCTGTCCTCCTGCCTGTCCTCCTGCCTGCCTGTCTCCACCTTTATCCTTCCTCCTGTCTTCTCCCCTCAGCATGCTACAGAGACAGATACTGTACACTAATAGAAACCAGCAGCACAAAAAAACATTGCTGTACATTTGCCTTTAGATTATTTCCTAGAAGTCTTCCTATTATCCATTAACTGCGCTAGTACTGGCTCTGGTTAATAACTACTGTTCTGTCAGGACAAACTGGCTCTGGTTAATAACTACTGTTCTGTCAGGACAAACTGGCTCTGGTCAATAACTACTGTTCTGTCAGGACAAACTGGCTCTGGTTAATAACTACTGTTCTGTCAGGACAAACTGGCTCTGGTCAATAACTACTGTTCTGTCAGGACAAACTGGCTCTGGTCAATAACTACTGTTCTGTCAGGACAAACTGGCTCTGGTCAATAACTACTGTTCTGTCAGGACAAACTGGCTCTGGTCAATAAATACTGTTCTGTCAGGACAAACTGGCTCTGGTTAATAACTACTGTTCTGTCAGGACAAACTGGCTCTGGTTAATAACTACTGTTCTGTCAGGACAAACTGGCTCTGGTCAATAACTACTGTTCTGTCAGGACAAACTGGCTCTGGTCAATAACTACTGTTCTGTCAGGACAAACTGGCTCTGGTTAATAACTACTGTTCTGTCAGGACAAACTGGCTCTGGTTAATAACTACTGTTCTGTCAGGACAAACTGTGGGGCTGCTTACGATTGGCCCCTGTGTTTCTCATTGACGTATGTGCGTGCGTGACTACATGTGATCCTGTGTGTGTGTGCCTGTGTACTAGTGTGTGTGTGTGTGTGTCTGGTTAAGTGTACAAAGTGTGTGTGTACACTGACGTTCTGGTCTCTCTCCTTAGGTAAATCAGTAGAGTGTACCTCTACGATGCTGGCTCTGTATGAGGCTAGAGAGCTGCTGCAGGCCTTCGGCTGCAGGTCAGACTACGGTGGGCATGTCCGACCGGCCCTCTCCACCCTGAACTCCCTGCTGCAGAGGATACTCCCTCAGGTACGCTGCCTGGAGCTCATTCAGGACTGCAACATCACACGGTGGCAAATACGTTTTCTTTATGTTTTGGACCCAAGTTTTCCAAAGTTGTTCAAACTTATTTGTATTGTATTCTTGTGCGTTTCTTAAAATCTCTTACCGTTTTACCATTGAGCTCTCATCTAAGAGACATTCCAATGTTTGTGCTTGTTTACGAATGACAAATAAATACAACTTGAACTTTATCTTGGTATGTAGCCAGGGAAAGTCTCAGAGGAGACCCACACCAGTGATGGTGACACCCTCATGGCGGAAGAGGAGGAGGAAGAGAAACAGACCACGCCTGCTCAGGTGTCACACCAGGAAGTGTGGGTGATGTTTGAGAACATCTGGAACAATGTGTGTGGGATCAGGTGAGCAGATGATACAGAGTTCAGGTTTAGGATCTGTGGAGATTAGGCCATAGTCGGGGAGTTGGGGTTCTAAATACTAGTATTTCTAACATGCATTCTAAAGATTGTGCATGTTAAAGGGACATTTATTTAATGAATGAATGTGAGTATATGTTAGTATAAGTATGATGTTGACCCTATGTTCTGTCTCTGGTCACTGTGCTGTGTTCAGCTCTGCTGTGTTCGCTGCTCTCCGCTTTGACCCGGGCGCCATAGAAACCAACAAGCCAGTAGAAGGTCCTCCTCTTCCCCAGGACGCCCTCTCCTGTCTGCACAGACTATCTACTGCTGTCAGACAACTGCTACAGGCCTTTACCAGGTGCGATACCTGACATATCTCTCACCTCACCTTAAACACCTGCAAACCTTGTAGCTCTTAGGACCAGGGCTGGTGACCACTACCACCCCAGACTCAGACTTACCATATTCAATGAGGCTGACTTTTAGTTTTATTAGTGCATGAATCACTCAGCTGTTCCAGACTACAGCCCTAAGGATGTGTTTTGAGGGAGCGTTTGCAAATTGCCCAGAAATGGGACAATCGTGATGACATCCCAGTACAGCTCCTGATTGATCTCCTTTGTCTTGTCTGTCTGGCTTCACTCTCTCCTCTCTGCTAGACTCACTGCCATTCAGGCCAAAGCCAGGGAAGATAATAGTGAGTCTGCAGACAATCTGCAATCTGGAACACTTCCTTCACTTTCACATTACATCACTCATGGTTGCTATGGTGATTAAGTTATAAAAAAATAATCATCCCAGCAGTCAAGGGTGACTGAAATTGTTCATGTGATGGTTGACGTCTCAATGTGATGTTTCTATTAGTTTTAAAGCCGTTTGTCTTACAGGAGTTTGGCTTTCTCCTGGACAGCCAAATGTCCTCGCCTTGTTTTCCGCTACATTGGTTAGCTACTCCTGTTTTCCACCACATTGGTTAGCTACTCCTGTTTTCCACCACATTGGTTAGCTACTCCTGTTTTCCACTACATTGGTTAGCTACTCCTGTTTTCCACTACATTGGTTAGCTACTCCTGTTTTCCACTACATTGGTTAGCTACTCCTGTTTTCCACTACATTGGTTAGCTACTCCTGTTTTCCACTACATTGGTTAGCTACTCCTGTTTTCCACCACATTGGTTAGCTACTCCTGTTTTCCACTACATTGGTTAGCTACTCCTGTTTTCCACTACATTGGTTAGCTACTCCTGTTTTCCACCACATTGTGGAATAGGATTGAAAGTAAGGCATGCTGCTGTACACACACACACACACACACACACACACACACACACACACACACACACAGCCTCAAACGGGGGTCTGATTTGGTTGGTGTTGGTGAATGGTGGCCCCTCAGTCAGGAACGCTCTTTCAACAGTAACTATGAACATTCTGCCTCATTGTAGTTTGAAGTGGTGTGTTCATTTAATTAACCTTTATTTAACCAGGTAAGTCATTCTGAAAAATAACGACCTGTGCCCGTTTTCCCGATAGCGATGGAACTTAGGCTTACGAGTGTTTTTAACAATGCATCTTTCCTACAAGATGTAACATGTTTCCCAAAACACCACACAGAGAGAACGGGTCGCTAAGTGCGTCGTTGGAGCATGTGTCGATACTGATAGGATTGAAAGAAAGGCTGTGCTGTTCTCGGGTCAGCTTTCTCCATTCAAATCTTTCCTTAACATTATAATTACAGTGCCTTCGGAAAGTATTCAGACCCCTTGACTTTTTCCACATTTTATTACGTAACAGCCTTCTAAAATGTATTATATATTTTTTCCCCCTCATCAATCTACACACAATACCCCATAATGACAAAGCAAAAACAGGTTTGTAGAAATGTTTGCTAATTTATAAAACAAAAAGGGAATATCACATTTACATAAGTATTCAGACCCTTTACTCAGTACTTTGTTGAAGCACTTTTGGCAGCGATTACAGCATTGAGTCTTCTTGGGTATGATGCTACAAGCTTGGCACACCTGTATTTGGTGAGTTTCTCCCATTATTCTCTGCAGATCCTCTCAAGCTCTGTCAGGTTGGATGGGGTGCGTTGCTGCACAGCTATTTTCATGTCTCTCCAGAGATGTTCGATCGGGTTCAAGTCCTGGCTCTGGCTGGGCCACTCAAGGACATTCAGAGACTTGTCCCGAAGCCACTCCTGCGTTGTCTTGGCTGTGGGTTTAGGGTCGATGTCCTGTTGGAAGGTGAACCTTCGCCCCAGTCTGAGGTCCTGAGCGCCCTGGAGCAGGATCTCGCTGTACTTTGCTCCGTTCATCTTTGCCTCGATCCTGACTAGTCTCCCAGTCCCTGCCACTGAAAAACATCCCCACAACATGATGCTGCCACCACCGTGCTTCACCGTAGGGATGGTGCCAGGTTTCCTCCAGACGTGACGCTTGGCATTCAGGCCAAAGATTGGTTTCATCAGACCAAATAATCTTGTTTCTCATGGTCTGAGAGTCTTTAGGTACCTTTTGGCAAACTCCAAGCGGGCTTTCATGTGCCTTTTTACAGAGGAGTGGCTTCCATCTGGCCACTCTACCATAAAGGCGCTATTGGTGGAGTGCTGCAGGGATGGTTGTCCTTCTGGAAGGTTCTCCCATCTCAACAGAGGAGCTCTAGAGCTCTGTCAGTGATTCTTGGTCACCTCCCTGACCAAGGCCCTTCTCCCCCGATTGCTCAGTTTGGCTGGGCGGCCAGCTCTAGGAAGAGTCTTGGTGGTTCCAAACTTCTTCCATTTAAGAATAATGGAGGCCACTGTGTTCTTGGGGATCTTCAATGCTGCAAACATTTTCTGGTACCCTTCCCCACATCTGTGCCTCGACACAATCCTGTCTCGGAGCTCTATGGACAATTCCAACCTCATGGCCTGTTGGACCTTATATAGACAGGTGTGTGCCTTTCCAAATCATGTCCGATCAATTGAATTTACCACAGGTGGACTCCAATCAAGTTGTAGAAACATCTCAAGGATAATCAATGGAAACAGGATGCACCTGAGCTCAATTTCGAGTCTCATAGCAAAGGTTCTGAATACTTATGTAAATAAGTTTTTTTTTTTTTTTTTTTATACATTTGCAAAAATTCCTAAACCTGTTTTCGCTTTGTCATTATGTGTATTGTGTGTAGATTGCTCAGGAATAATTTTTGTTTAATCCATTTTAGAATAAGGCTGTGGAAAAAGTCAAGGGGTCTGAATACTTTCTGAAGGCACTGTATTTCATGATACTGATGACGGATCAGCTTCTAGAGAGATTATCGCCTATGGCTGCAAATATTGAGGTGTCTTATTCCAATTCTTACTCTATAATAATGCACTTAATCAAGATTTGGAACATCATTACACACTTTAGGCTACACATCATGAAATATAGAAATATATTGAGGCAATAATGACAAATAGTAAATTAACATAAAATTGATTTCAATATCATTGAAAGGGAGGCTATTTATCTTTTAATGCAGTCATCCCGGTTTTCATTTTAAGCATCTGTTTTATCCTTCGCTTGTGTGTAACAATTGCAAAGACATTGGCAACTTTGTATTTGTAGTCTACTTCTTTATCGGAAGATAATAAAAAATAAACATCTTGATTCTGTGACGCGGTAAGTAAAAAAGGCCTCTAACGAAGCACTTAGCTGTTCTGAGGCAGTCGCCAATTCCTCCCCAATTTCGTCATATCCAATTACGATCTTGTCTCATCGCTGCAACTCCCCAACGGGCTCGGGAGAGGCGAAGGTCGAGACATGCGTCATCTGAAACATGACCCGCCAAACCGTGCTCCTTAACAGCCGCCCGCTTAACCTGGAAGCTAGCCACACCAATGTGTCGGAGGAAACACTGTTCAACTGACGACCGAAGTCAGCCTGCAGGTGCCCGGCCCGCCACAAGGAGTCGCTAGAGCGCGATGAGCCAAGTAAAGCCCCCCCGGCCAAACCCTCCCCTAACGTGGTTGACCAATTGTGCGCTGTCCTATGGGACTCCCGGTCACGGCCGGTTGTGACACAGCCTGGGATCGAACCCGGGTCTGTAGTGACTCCTCAAGCACTGCGATGCAGTGCCTTAGACCGCTGCGCCACTCGGGAGGCCCTTAAACAAGCCTTTTCAAGTGCAACTTTACTAACAATAATTTTGGGAAACGGCTCAGAGATTTAACGATGCTCCTACGAAGGTTCTAACAATGAACCTAGCCTTAGAGCGACTGCCTAAAAAAAGTAATGAATCCCTTTGAAAATGGCCTATGTGGCGTCGATATGAGTCAGAAACAGTTATTATATTGTCATCATTGACTACAAAGTGCAAATAGGATCATTTTGATCATACAGTCAGTCTCGTCTAAAACGGATTTTGGAACATCCGTTCATCACAACGGGTAAATGAAGGTTGGGTTTTGATTTGACGATGTCCATTTGCCCACTAACATGGGGTGAACAGCTGCAGTGAGACAGACCTGCCCAGCATTCCCGACTTTGTTTACATAAAACAACACGTCGCAATTTTTTTAAACTTGAGAAATACTGCACCAAACACCTTAGTACAATTGTGCAACTAAAACTTCCTCGGCAAAAACGTCAATTAATTACAGATTTCTTGAGATATTTTAGATTCATTCTAGGGATTTTGAGGAAGTGAAATAGGCTTCGGTGTCTCATGGGGGACAAACATCATTAACCAAACGCGGCATCGGTCAGTAAACACGCCTCCAAGACTGAAATCTTGTTTTTCTAATGAGCAACAGAAAAACATATGTGTAAATTGGCGTGTTCAGTGGCTCTTTAAGATGCTTTTGGGAAACCAGGCCCAGACTGGTGTTTTAGAGATCATTAATCCTTACATTTGTCTGTTAACACCTCGCTCTAACTCTCATTAGCACACACAGAGAATCTACTGTACGTTAGTTATATAATATCAGAATATTATAAGTCATTCACATTATGTTCTAATGATGCCTCTTCACAACCTACCTAATTTCTGAATATAGATCAGGGCCCGATTTCCCAAAAGCATCTTAAGGCTTAGTTCATTGTTAGAACCGTGTGTGTTTGTGTTGTGACGCGTAGTTCCAGTTTTTCAGGGCCCTCTGAGTTCCTGAAAGTCTATTGCTCTCCTGCTGCACATGATGTGCATTTGAATAAAAACCCATGGTATTTCTGTACTGTACACATTACGCAGAACAGGTCGTAGGTTAGAAATGTAACAGAAAAGCCTAACAGCAATGTACCTCATCTTTCTTAATCATGTTCTTAATCCCAAAAATGAAGATGACTTTCATGTATGCCCGTCTGTAGGAAGCTTGGATGACTTTTAGATTGGATGTGTGTGTGTTGAAGCTGCTCCTGTGTGGTTACCTAGGAGACTGCCAGTCAGTCGCTCTTACAGTAGCTAGCACTGACGCATCATCATCACCCCCCCCCCCCCCCACCCCCCAAGTCCCTGCCGGGAGAAAATATGTATAATGCAGACAGATCTAGCCTGCTGAAATGACTTTTCTCTCTCTCTTTCTTCTCTCTCTCTCTCTCCCCATCGCTCTCTCCCCATCGCTCTCTCTCCTCTCCTCTCCTCTCCTCTCCTCTCCTCTCCTCTCCTCTCCTCTCCTCTCCTCTCCTCTCCTCTCCTCTCCTCTCCTCTCCTCTCCTCTCCTCTCCTCTCCTCTCCTCTCCTCTCCTCTCCTCTCCTCTCCTCTCCTCTCCTCTCCTCTCCTCTCCTCTCCTCTCCTCTCCTCTCCTCTCCTCTCCCTCCTCCTCCTCTCCTCTCCTCTCCTCTCCTCTCCTCTCCTCTCCTCTCCTCTCCTCTCCTCTCCTCTCCTCTCTCATTTCAATGGGCTTTATTGGCATGGGAAACATATGTTTACATTGCCAAAGCAAGTGAAATAGACAAACAAAGGTGAAATAAAACTTTAAAAGAATATAGATATTTCAAATGTTATATTATTGGCAATGTTGTAACAATGTGCAAATAGTTGAAGTATGAAAGGGAAAATAAATAAACATATGAATATAGGTTGTATTGGTGTTTGTGCTCCACTGGTTGCCCTTTTCTTTTGGCAGCCTTTCCCTCTCCATCTCTCTCTCCATATTTACCCTAAGACTTTAATGACCCCTTCTATCTCTTAATTTTCCCTCTTCCATTTCCTCTGTTACTTACTTAATGACAGTGTGTGTGTATATTGTGTGTCCCTTCACTAATCAGACCATGGCTGTTGTGTGTAGGGTTCTGTCAACAGACAGCTGTCTAGAAGATGCCCAGGCTCTCCTCTCCTTTGTCCATTCCAGTGAGGTTAGTATTTATAACTCATAGTAACCCAAAAGTCTCTGTTTGGTATCAACCAGGACAGTCCAACCTCATCTGAGATAATTCATGTTTCACCTTTCCATGGATATTGTTTGTTTCCTTTTTGGACATTGTAGGATTAATTCATTCTAAATGTTAATAGGATTGTGATGTTACATCACATGTACTGTCAAGCTGATTGGACTGAATCTTAATACTGTAAGTGACTTGTGCTTTAGATTGCTGCCTTGGAGCCCAGGTTCACTGCCAATGACCTGTTGGACTGTCTCTCACAGCACGAGTACAGGTGGGTGGAGACACAAACATACATTTACGTTTATGTCATTTAGCAGACGCTCTTATCCAGAGCGACTTACAGTTAGTGAGTGCATACATTTTCATACTGGCCCCCCGTGGGAAATGAACCCACAACCCTGGCGTTGCAAGCGCCATGCTCTACCAACTGAGCTACAGGGGACTAAACATACACAACTACACTCACATAAACACAATTAGCTTTGTCTGTTTAGTCACCATGCCAGCCATTCTAGTTGCCATTATAGTCGCCATGCCAGCCATTCTAGTCGCCATGCCAGCCATTCTAGTCGCCATGCCAGCCGTTCTAGTCGCCATTCTAGTCGCCATGCCAGCCATTCTAGTCGCCATTCTAGTCACCATGCCAGCCATTCTAGTCGCCATTCTAGTCGCCATGCCAGCCATTCTAGTCGCCCTTCTAGTCACCATGCCAGCCGTTCTAGTCACCATTCTAGTCGCCATGCCAGCCATTCTAGTCGCCATGCCAGCCATTCTAGTCGCCATGCCCGCCGTTCTAGTCGCCATGCCCGCTGTTCTAGTCGCCATGCCAGCCGTTCTGGTCGCCATGCCAGCCGTTCTAGTCGCCATGCCAGCCGTTCTAGTCGCCATGCCAGCCGTTTAGGCGCCATGCCAGCCATTCCAAACTGTCCCCCCTAACCCTCTTTCTGGAATTGCTGCGACTATAAAATGGGATAATGACACACACACACACACACACACACACACACACACACACACTTATGAGTGGTTCAATGAGTTCAAGACGCTGTGTTCTTCCGCCCTTTAGTTTTGACTGTTGGCTGGTCATTATCTCACACTGTCAGACTGGTTCTCTGAATAAGATGGGTCCTGTGTAATGGATAGGTGCTTTTGGATTGTTATTGTGGAACCAGGGAGAGCTCGCTAGCTAACTTTTTGGATCCCGCGACACTGATAGCCTCAGTTACTGGGATCTCTATATCTGTCCAGGGATCATCCGGCCACTGGTCTGAGGAGCTGCTTGGCGTAGCAGCTATTCTAGCTGCTATCAAGCTAGCGGGGTTTCCTTGGGGGCTTGAACACAGCCCGCGACGCGGTTAGCCCATGTGGCTGGGACCGCGGATTGTCCCAGGCTTGTGGCTGTCTAGATCCCTGCTGTTTGTTGCTGTTTCCATCTGCCCTGTGACCTGCCCTGCGACCTGCCCTGAACAATAGCAAGTCTATTTTGCTCCAGAGAAGTAGCTCATTGTTCCCTCGTTGGCGCCATCTTCCCTGCGACCGGCCCTGTCTGGAACTGCTAGGAGTAACAGCATAGCCTGCGTTGCTACCATGATAAAGACCAAAGCCGGTGGGAGTACCGTTGAGGACAGTGGTGTCTCTCTATCACAGGTGAATGATCTTTTAAACAAACGAAAATAGTTCTACAAGCAGTTGTTACAACAACGAGAAAATAGCTTCAAGTGTTGTCCCCAAATACTGGTGGAGCCAACTGACTAAAGAATGGACAACCTGACCAGAGAGGTCCAGGACGTGAAGAACAGTTTGCAGTTCTCCCAGGGTCAGCTTGATGATTTTAAACAGGAGAACAGAAAGATGACAGCAATCTATAAGTCATTGAGAGAGGAAATCAGTTCTGTATGTGAATTGATGATACCAATCATAGCGAAATCAGATTATCTCGAGGGACAATCAAGCCGGAACAACATTGTTGTGGACGGAATTGCAGAATCTCCAAATGAGACCTGTACGGAGTCTGAGGACAAAGTGAGGGAAATGATCACTGAGAAATTGAAGATGACCACCAGGAAGATTCAGGTGGATCGTGTCCACAGGACTGAAAAACCCACCACCGGCCCAGGTGACAGGCCCAGGCCGATAGTGGTCAAGTTCATGAGGTTCAAGGACAAGGTAACTCTTCTGGAAAGAGCCAAGAACTTGAGAGGAACGTACATCTTCCTCAACGAGGACAATCCTGAAGCTGTGCTCCATAAGAGGAAAGAACTTACCCCAGCCATGAAAGCTGCCAGAGCGCGTGGGGACATTGCTTACAGCGAGGGAAAAAAGTATTTTATCCCCTGCTGATTTTATACATTTGCCCACTGACAAAGACATGATCAGTCTATAATTTTAATGGTAGGTTTATTTGAACAGTGAGAGACAGAATAACAACAACAAAATCCAGAAAAACACATGTCAAAAATGTTACAAATTGATTTGGATTTTAATGAGGGAAATAAGTATTTGACCCCTCTGCAAAACATGACTTAGTACTTGGTGGCAAAACCCTTGTTGGCAATCACAGAGGTCAGATGTTTCTTGTAGTTGGCCACCAGGTTTGCACACATCTCAGGAGGGATTATGTCCCACTCCTCTTTGCAGATCTTCTCCAACTCATTAAGGTTTCGAGGCTGACATTTGGCAACTCGAACCTTCAGCTCCCTCCACAGATTTTCTATGGGATTAAGGTCTGGAGACTGGCTAGGCCACTCCAGGACCTTAATGTGCTTCTTCTTGAGCCACTCCTTTGTTGCCTTGGCCGTGTGTTTTGGGTCATTGTCATGCTGGAATACCCATCCACAACCCAATTTCAATGCCCTGGCTGAGGGAAGGAGGTTCTCACCCAAGATTTGACGGTACATGGCCCCATCCATCGTCCCTTTGATGCAGTGAAGTTGTCCTGTCCCCTTAGCAGAAAAACACTCCCTTAGCATAATGTTTCCACCTCCATGTTTGACGGTGGGGATGGTGTTCTTGGGGTCATAGGCAGCATTCCTCCTCCTCCAAACACGGTGAGTTGAGTTGATGCCAAAGAGCTCGATTATGGTCTGATCTGAACACAACACTTTCACCCAGTTCTCCTCTGAATCATTCAGATGTTCATTGGCAAACTTCAGACGGGCCTGTATATGTGCTTTCTTGAGCAGGGGGACCTTGCGGGTGCTGCAGGATTTCAGTCCTTCACGGCGTAGTGTGTTACCAATTGTTTTCTTGGTGACTATGGTCCCAGCTGCCTTGAGATCATTGACAAGATCCTCCCGTGTAGTTCTGGGCTGATTCCTCACCGTTCTCATGATCATTGCAACTCCACGAGGTGAGATCTTGCATGGAGCCCCAGGCCGAGGGAGATTGACAGTTATTTTGTGTCGCACCAACTGTTGTCACCTTCTCACCAAGCTGCTTGGCGATGGTCTTGTAGCCCATTGCAGCCTTGTGTAGGTCTACAATCTTGTCCCTGACATCCTTGGAGAGCTCTTTGGTCTTGGCCATGGTGGAGAGTTTGGAATCTGATTGATTGCTTCTGTGGACAGGTGTCTTTTTATACAGGTAACAATATGAGATTAGGAGCACTCCCTTTAAGAGTGTGCTCCTAATCTCAGCTCGTTACCTGTATAAAAGACACCTGGGAGCCAGAAATCTTTCTGATTGAGAGGGGGTCAAATACTTATTTCCCTCATTAAAATGCAAATCAATTTATAACATTTTTTACATGCGTTTTTCTCAGTGGCGGCTGGTGAAAAATATTCTCGGTGGGGCTGTGCCATACTTTTTTTTTCCTGTAACCATCGCGATATATTTTAACACAAACTGCAGGACAGCAGTGCTCAGTGAAACATTCAGTAATTATTTAATGCCAATATTAAAAAGTTGAGGCATTCTTACACAAAAACATATTACACAAACCCAAGCCTTTCATTTGCATTTAAAGTGAACTTTTCACCATTGGTAGTAAACAGGCAACGCAACAGGCATGCTGTCAGAACAGAGTGGAAAGTGGACAATAACATGAAATTATTATAAAGTTTATAGGAAATCTTACACTGTATAAAAGGATGTATAATATAGAAATGGATATCAAGTGGATGAACTCAAACCTTTGACTGGAAGAATAGCATACAGTATTTTATGATCATACTAAATGTGACTAATTGTTAATGTGCTCCAGAACTGCAACAATTAATTGATACAAACAACATATATACAGTAATATTAGCAAAGACACTATTAAGACTTTCTGGAGTACCATATATAACTGGATTTTTTATGCTAAGGTCAACTATATACAAAGAAACATGCGGCCAGAGCTGCTCTGTGTGTGTGTGTCTGTCATCTTATTTGTACAGGAATTTTGCCCGTCTGTCCTTCTGAGTGGCAAACCTCTCAATGACCCTTTGATTAAAGTCAGGAATGTCCCTGACAAGTTTCTTCTCCATGGAGAGCATGGCCAGAGCGTTCAGGCGATCCTGTGTCATGCTGTTTCTCAGGAAGGTCTTGATCCTTTTCAGTGTAGAGAAGCACCTTTCTGACTCAGCAGTTGTCATGGGTGTGGTGATGAGGATCTTGAGGAGGCTGGCAGTCTCTGTGAAAGTGCTCTGAAGGTTGTTCTCCATGAAGAACTGGTACAGGGGCACTGCACCACTACAAGCCTTGAACTCACTGTTCTCATAGATGAGGGACAGTTCGGTTTTGAGCTTGGCCTTGTTCAACATGGGGTACGCCTCCACGGTTGTTTCAAGCGCTGTATCGGGGAACTTCACACTGTGTTGTGGGAACAACTCTCCGTGCAATAGTGTTGCGCTGATGAGGTGCTGGGTGAAGGAGAACCTCTCTTTGGCATGACTCAGGATGGTATCACATACCTGTAAAAGATACATCATCAGCTTTAATTTGCAATTAAGCTATTTTGATGCAAGTGATCCTGACTGACACATGCCTATGTCCAACTCAAGTATATGATTACCAAGGTGCTGATTGTTCAGGGTTTTGGCTACATACTACCAGGCCTGAAAATAGTTCTAGGGGGAAACACTGACAATTACATCACAACTTACCTCTATAGCCAACCTCTGTTGTTCTCCTGGTCCCAGCATCCTCCGTCGCTTGATGGGCTGTTGCTGCTCGTCAGATGCGCTGTCCCCACACAAAGAGGGAATTGAGGCCCTGGGTCCAAAAAATAAAGTTTAATTTGATAACTTGCAATCAGACTTCTTAACTCACTGTAATTCCCCCTCAACACACAACCAGTGACTTTTATATATATATATATTATATATATATATATATATATATATATATATATATATATATATATATATATATATATATATATATATATATATATAGACAGACAGACAGACAGACAGACAGACAGACAGACAGATAGTGTGTATATACAACTGCTTTTAACCTGTGATGTACATAATTAACTGATGTTATTACGTTTTAAAGCCTTTTTCTATTACATTTGTGAGAGGGATGCAACATCATTTTGTTCTGCTGTGCACTTAGCAATAAAGTTAATCTTCAATAACAACTAGGCCTCTTCTAGAAATTGACCTGGTGGACACCTGAATAATTATTACAAACTGTGTAGTACTTTCCTGCATTATTATCAACGTCTGATTGTGTCTTCTCTTTCCTTTTAAAATACTAAAACAAATATAATTGTGACGGCTCTATGATAATCACTCACTTTGATGACCAGACACATTTAGGCTTTTAAACTGTTGTAAGTGAACTATTCATCTTTCTAACAACATCTTTATCAGCCAATAGTAAATATAGTTATTTACCTGATTGTTAGCATGCTGTCTGTGAACCTCTGGACAAGTGCTTTAATGAAGACAGGGTCGATGTTCCTCTTCTGCAGCTGGCTGAAAAGCATGTCCACATTTGGCATGATCTTGTGGAACAGTGCCAGGAAAAAAACAGAAAGCCTCGTCTTCGAGCATCCTCACAAAGCCCCCCCGCCTCTCTGACAGTCGGGGCATCAAAGTTCCCAGAGTCTCTGATGGTCTGGAAACACGTTAGGAGGTCATCCCTGTACTCGTACACAGTGTTTACAGCGCGACTGTGGAAGTTCCACCGTGTTGTAGAGGCTCTGGGGAGTCTATGCGCAACCACTTCGTCAAGCACGGTGGTTCGCTTGGGAGACCTGGAGAAGAAAGCAGAAAATCCTGCAAGGTCGGAAAAGAAAGTGCCGATCCTGGGGATGCGTGAAGTAGCCTGCTGCATGATGAGGTTCAGCTGATGTGCATAGCAGTGGACGTAGTGCGCATTTTCGTACACATCCACTATTTTACGCTGCACTCCGCCGGTGGCTCCCCTCATCACACTTGCTCCGTCGTAAGCCTGGGCAATAAGTTTGGCCTTTTGTCCATGTGAGAGTATGGTGCTGAGCCTCTCCAGCAGCGCTGTAGCGATGGTGTCGGCGGTTGCGTTCTCGATCAAAATGAACTCGAAAAAACGCTCTTGGACGTTACTTTTAGCATCGATGTAGCGTATCACAAGCACCAACTGGCAGTGGGTGGAAACGTCAGTCGTCTCGTCAGCTTGAATGGCGATAAAATCAGCACTCTTTACTTCCTCCAGGATGTAATCCTTAAGCACTGACAGCATACAGTCCAACAGCTCGTTCTGTATCGTCTTTGACGTGCCCTTAAAAACGGTAGCTGTCTTCAGGTGCTCCTCCAGCACACTGTCGAGGGAGGCAACAAAATCCACTAAGCCCCGGAAAATGCCGGGGTTGTCCGAGGAGTCAGTCTCCTCGTGCCCACGCAAGGCCAACTCAAAAGCCCCACAGAACTTCACACAATCGATAATTTTGGATAGAATGTGCCTGTTTTTATCCACCTCCTCATTGTGTTTCCTCACCGCAATCCTGTGGCCGTCATCCAGCTGCGTAGCAATGTTCACCCTTCCTAATACAGCTAGCTTTACAGAGTTGTCCATGTGTGCCCTGGTGTTCTCATGTTTCTTTACCTTCTCTGACAGGTGCTTCATATCCCTCACTCCGGTACCTGTCCATGCTGAATCTGACCCCGTCGTTTTAAAAAGCAAGCACGGAAAGCAAAATAAAGCATTAGCATCAGTGCACCCAGCTAGCCAAGCCTTCCTGGTGTACCAGCTACGGGAGAAGCCGCGCATATACTGCTTCCCTTTCTCGCTAGCCTGCTGTCTGATTGAGAGGTCAGGTTGATCTGGGCCCAGCTCTTTCACCCGAACTTTCTCTGACAAAGTTCTCCTCTCAAACGGATCTTGGAGGAGAGATTTCACCGAGTTAGGGTTGGGTCTTGGAGGAGTAACGTTTGCGCTCGCCATTGTCGTCTAGTAAAAATGGCGCCACTGGAGCCCGGTCCTTATTTTATCAGGGGCGAGCTTGGGGCGATAAAATAATCGCCCTCCTTGGATTCGAATTAAAATCGCTGATTAGCTACATTTTATGTCATACATTCATATCTTAAATTAGCAATTGGCTTAACTGCTACGTAGACCCGCCTCCTCGGGGCACTTTCTGTATCGCCCAGAGCTGACGAGGCGTTTGACAGGCAGAGGAAAGGTTGCGAATATGATTTTCTATCATATCTTACACATATTACTGTGTGCATTCCATATTTCAAACACACAAATATTGACATACTGATGTTTTTATTATTATTATTATTATTATTATTTTTTTTTTTATTTTTTTTTTAAAAATAATTTTATTTAAGGGGGCGGCGCCCTAGCGCCCTCTATCGGCCAGCCGCCACTGGTTTTTCTGGATTTTGTTGTTGTTATTCTGTCTCTCACTGTTCAAATAAACCTACAATTAAAATTATAGACTGATCATTTCTTTGTCAGTGGGCAAACATACAAAATCAGCAGGGGATCAAATACTTTTTTCCTTCACTGTACATCCGCTATGTCAGGCTCATTGTCCACACTCCCTCCCAAAAGTCTGGAAGGGATGAGAGAGACAAGCCTCTGGGTTCGTAGCTTCAACCCCGCAGCACACACACACTTTTACAACTGATTAATGGACTGCTGAATGTTTGTTTTTTCTCTTGCTTTGTTTGTTCTTTTCCATATTATGTCTATCTCTGGTAAGCTACCCAGGAAAGGGCAACAAAAAAAAACATATTTAATAGAAGTAGCCTTTAGAAATTAGGTTAATGAAATCAATAACTTGCTAATATCAGATAACATAAATATGTTAGCCATTTCTGAGACTAATTTAGATTCGTTTATTTGATACAGCAGTAGCAATACAAGGATATAACATCTACAGAAGAGACAGGAATGCTTATGGGGGAGGTGTTGCTTTATACACTATATATACACTACAGTGGGGAGAACAAGTATTTGATACACTGCCGATTTTGCAGGTTTTCCTACTTACAAAGCATGTAGAGGTCTGTAATTTTTATCATAGGTACACTTAAACTGTGAGAGACGGAATCTAAAACAAAAATCCAGAAAATCACATTGCATGATTTTTAAGTAATCATTTGCATTTTATTGCATGACATGAGTATTTGATCACCTACCAACCAGTAAGAATGTTAGTTTTTCTTTAAGAAGCCCTCCTGTTCTCTACTCATTACCTGTATTAACTGCACCTGTTTGAACTCGTTACCTGTATAAAAGACACCTGTCCACACACTCAATCAAACAGACTCCAACCTCTCCACAATGGCCAAGACCAGAGAGCTGTGTAAGGCTGGCCTGCACAAGGCTGGGATGGGCTACAGGACAATAGGCAAGCAGCTTGGTGAGAAGGCAACAACTGTTGGCGCAATTATTAGAAAATGGAAGTTCAAGATGACGGTCAATCACCCTCGGTCTGGGGCTCCATGCAAGATCTCACCTCGTGGGGCATCAATGATCATGAGGAAGGTGAGGGATCAGCCCAGAACTACACGGCAGGACCTGGTCAATGACCTGAAGAGAGCTGGGACCACAGTCTCAAAGAAAACCATTAGTAACACACTACGCCGTCATGGATTAAAATCCTGCAGCGCACGCAAGGTCCCCCTGCTCAAGCCAGCGCATGTCCAGGCCCGTCTGAAGTTTGCCAATGACCATCTGGATGATCCAAGGAGGAATGGGAGAAGGTCATGTGGTCTGATGAGACAAAAATAGAGCTTTTTGGTCTAAACTCCACTCGCTGTGTTTGAGGAAGAAGAAGGATGAGTACAACCCCAAGAACACCATCCCAACCGGAAAGCATGGAGGTGGAAACATCATTCTTTGGGGATGCTTTTCTGCAAAGGGGACAGGACGACTGCACCTTATTGAGGGGAGGATGGATGGGGCCATGTATCGCCAGATCTTGGCCAACAACCTCCTTCCCTCAGTAAGAGCATTGAAGATGGGTCGTGGCTGGGTCTTCCAGCTTGACAACGACCCAAAACACACAGCCAGGGCAACTAAGGAGTGGCTCCGTAAGAAGCATCTCAAGGTCCTGGAGTGGCATGGCCAGTCTCCAGACCTGAACCCAATAGAAAATCTTTGGAGGGAGCTGAGAGTCTGTATTGCCCAGCGACAGCCCCGAAACCTGAAGGATCTGGAGAAGGTCTGTATGGAGGAGTGGGCCAAAATCCCTGCTGCAGTGTGTGCAAACCTGGTCAAGACCTACAGGAAATGTATGATCTCTGTAATTGCAAACAAAGGTTTCTGTAACAAATATTAAGTTCTGCTTTTCTGTTGTATCAAATACTTATGTCATGCAATAAAATGCAAATTAATTACTTAAAAATCATACAATGTGATTTTCTGGATTTTTTTGATTCCGTCTCTCACAGTTGAAGTGTACCTATGATAAAAATTACAGACTTCTACATGCTTTGTAAGTAGGAAAACCTGCAAAATCGACAGTGTATCAAATACTTGTTCTCCCCACTGTATATATACAAAAGCATGTGGACACCCCTTCAAATTAGTGGATTCGGCTATTTCAGCCACACCCGTTCTTGACAGGTGTATAAAATCGAGCACACGGCCATGCAATCTCCATAGGGAAACATTGGCAGTAGAATGGCCTTACTGAAGAGCTCAGTGACTTTCAACGTGGCACCGTCATAGGATGCCACCTTTCCAACAAGCCATATCCCTGTAATGCTTAGAGATCTCATGTCAAGTGTTATTGAAGTGTTGTGGTTGCAGGTTCATCTGCCTCATCTAAAGCCTATTATTTTGGGATGTTGCTATAGGCCACTAACAGTTAGTATCTAGATAATGTGTGTGAAATGCTTGATAGTGTATGGGATGTAAATAGACTGGTCTTCTTTCTTGGGGACCTAAATATTGACTGGTTTTCATCTGTTCGCTCAAGATGAAGCTTCTCACTGTAACCAGTGCCTGTCTGGTTCAGATTATTAATCAACCTACCAGGGTGTTTACAAACACTACAGGAACTAGATCATCCACATGTATTGATCAAATTTTTACTACTGTAGGACTTTGTTCTAAAACTGTGTATGTACCCATTGGATGCAGTGATCACAATATAGTGGCTATATCCAGGAAAGCCAAGGTTCCAAAAGCTGGGCCTAAAATAGTGTATAAAGCAGAAACCACACAGAATTTGCGTGCGAGAGTAGAGAGCGTCCATTCACATACACTGCGTAGCGTATGCCAACTTAATTGTCATGAGAATCCATAATAATAATTATCTCGATCACTAAGGTGCATTTTAATTCCAGCGTGTACACACTCTTAAAAAAAACAAAAAACTTTTTGTTTGGTTTGGGCTTAAGATGTCATAGAAAATATTTTGCTTGGGACTTATGTGGATGATGTTAAAAATATTTGTTGGTCTGATTTGATTAATAAGGAGCATCCAGACACTGCCCTTTAATGAATTTATGAAATTGCTTATTCTAATTATTTATAAACATGCACCTGTTAAGAAACTGACTGTTAGAACTGTTAAGGCTCCATGGATTGATGAGGAATTGAAAAACTGTATGGTTTTAAGAGATGGGTCAAAAGGAGTGGCTAATAAGTCTGGCTGCACATCTGACTGGCTGACTTACTGCAAATTGAGAAATTATGTGACTAAACTCAACAAAAAGAAGAAGAATATGTATTATAAAGCCAAGATCAATGATATAAAGAATGATGGAAAAACAGTACTTTAAATGAAATGGGCAGAAAGACAAATTCAACTCCATCTTTCAAGTGGGCGAACTTAGGCAGGAAATGCCAACAACGAACAGTGAGCCATCGTATTTATAAAAAACCTAAGAATGAAAGAAAAGGATTGTAAATTCGAATTTTGTAAAGGTAGTGTGGGAAGTGGATAAATTGTTATTGTTCAATAATGACAAACCTCCTGGCATTGACAACTTAGATGGAAAGCTACTGAGGATGGTAGCTGACTCTATAGCCACTCCTATCTGTCATATCTTTAATCTGAGCCTAGAGGAAAGTCTTTGTCCTCAGGCCTGGAGGGAAGCCAAAGTCATTCCGCTACCCAAGAATGGAAAAGCGGCCTTTACTTGTTAGTGATACACGGGTTGACTCATAACCCATAGTCCCCGCGGTTATATCCGCAGGGCGACAGGTTTAGGGTCATTAAATATTGTGTGGCTGAAGGGTGGGTGCGTGGCGGGCGGGTTGAATAAAGAGAAACAATAGTTTAAAAAATCAATAAATGTACACTACCGTTCAAAAGTTTGGGGTCACTTAGAAATGTCCTTGTTTTCCATGAAAACATACATGAAATGAGTTTGAATAGGAAATATAGCATAATGCATAGGAAATGAAGTCATTGCCAAGGTTAGAAATAATGATTTTTAATATAATTAATAATTGTGTCCTTCAAACTTTGCTTTCGTCAAAGAATCCTCCATTTGCAGCAATTACAGCCTTGCAGACCTTTGGCATTCTAGTTGTCAATTTGTTGAGGTAATCTGAAGAGATTTCACCCCATGCTTCCTGAAGCACCTCCCACAAGTTGGATTGGCTTGATGGGCACTTCTTACGTACCATACGGTCAAGCTGCTCCCACAACAGCTCAATAGGGTTGAGATCCGGTGACTGTGCTGGCCACTCCATTATAGACAGAATACCAGCTGACTGCTTCTTCCCTAAATAGTTATTGCATAGTTTGGAGCTGTGCTTTTGGTCATTGTCCTGTTGTAGGAGGAAATTGGCTCCAATCAAGCGCCGTCCACAGGGTATGGCATAGCGTTGCAAAATGGAGTGTTATAGGGCCAAAAAGATTGGAGAATTTGAATTTGTTGTTGAATTTGAATTTGTTGTTGCCTAATAGTTTTTTGGTAGGTTTCGACACTACTTTCCTTCCATCTATAGCATTTCTTAATATTATTCTGTTCCTTTTGGCTTCCCACAGGGGGCTAGTATGAAAAATGTATGCACTCACTAATTGGAAGTTGCTCTGGATAAGAGCGTCTGCTAAATGACTAAAATGTCAAATGTAAAATAGCCTTCCTTCTTTAAGATCCCTTTTACCCTGTACAAATCTCCCACTTTCCCACCACCAAAGCTCCCCCAGACCATCACATTGCCTCCACCATGCTTGACAGATGGCATCAAGCACTCCTCCAGCATCTTTTCATTTGGTCTGCATCTCACAAATGTTCTTCTTTGTGATCCGAACACCTCAAACTTCGATTTGTCTGTCCATAACACTTTTTTCCAATTTTCCTCTGTCCAGTGTCTGTGTTCTTTTGCCCATCTTAATATTTTCTTTTTATTGGCCAGTCTGAGATATGGCTTTTTCTTTGCAACTCTGCCTAGAAGGTCAGCATCCCGGAGTCGCCTCTTCACTGTTGACGTTGAGACTGGTGTTTTGCGGGTACTATTTAATGAAGCTGCCAGTTGAGGACCTGTGAGGCGTCTTTCTCAAACTAGACATCTAATGTATTTGTCCTCTTGCTCAGTTGTGCACCGGGGCCTCCCACTCCTCTTTCTATTCTGGTTAGAGCCAGTTTGCGCTGTTCTGTGAAGGGAGTAGTACACAGCGTTGTACCTGTAATCGAATCCACAATTGCTGATGCTCCAGATACTCAACTAGTCTCAAGAAGGCCAGTTTTATTGCTTCTTTAATCAGCACAACAGTTTTCAGCTGTGCTAACATAATTGCAAAAGGTTTTTCTAATGATCAATTAGCCTTTTCAAATAAACTTGGATTAGCAAACACAACGTTCCATTGGAACACAGGACTGATGGTTGCTGATAATGGGCCTCTGTACGCCTATGTAGATATTCCATTAAAAATCAGCCGTTTCCAGCTACAATAGCCATTTACAACATTAACAATGTCTACACTGATTTTTTTTCGAAAACAAGGACATTTCTAAGTGACCCCGAACCTTTGAACGGTAGTGTATATTTATTGTGCAATTTATATAGGCTACATTGAGGTTTTTCTTTCATTATTTTAGGCTATCTGGTATTAGTGCATAAGCCTAAGCTTCAGGGTTTAACTGTACGGGTGCTAAATAGCGTACACAGCCAATCGCCAAAAAATGCTTTTGGGAACGGGCAGAAAAAATCAACGTCAATCCACGGAGGCGAAAAATACATTGTCGAAATGTAATTCAATAAGACAAAAGCTGCAAAGGGAGAGTTGAAAATAAAGAGAAGGGAGGGCCAGAAAAGTAATGTTTGGAAAAGATTTGGTGAAATGGTAAAAGAGGATGATAGCAGTGTTATGTGTGATGATTGTGAGGCGCTATACAAATTCGACAGTCACAAGACGGGACTTCAAATATGCCTATGGCACATCAAGGCAACTGTAGCCTACTGTTTAGATGGGTTAAATGGAAACTGACATCTGTACACTGACGGTAGGCCTTAATAATAACTCCTGCAGAATGAAGCATTTCTGAAATCTTATCAAAAACATGTTGGGTCATTTTCACAGGATTCTTTTTCCTAACAACTGGTCAAACTGATGTAATTTGGACATTTTGCACAGAAAGTTTTTCCTGTTGTTGTTATTATATATATTTTTAGCATTATTGTATTTTCTCCCCAGTCCCTAAACGTCTTTGCTCTGCGAAAGATGACAGAGAACTTTACTGATGTCAACTAGATAGAATATTCAATCAATCTATGTCACGTTCGTTTACGAACGAGAAGGACCAAGGCGCAGCGTGATAAGCATACATGTTTATTAAACGAATAAACACACGACAAAAACAACAAAACGAAACGTGAAGTCCAAGGTAGCACACTAACATACCCAAAACACGGAACAAGATCCCACAACTAACTAGTGCCAAAAAGCTGCATAAGTATGGTCCCCAATCAGAGACAACGAGCGACAGCTGCCCCTGATTGGGAACCACACCGGCCAACATAGATCTACACATACTAGAACATATCACCATCGAAATAAACACAACACGAAATATACACACCCTGACTCAACAAATAAACGTCCCCTGAGTCAGGGCGTGACAGTACCCCCCCCCCCCAAAGGTGCGGACTCCGACCGCGCCACATAAACATAACAGGGTAGGGGCCGGGTGGTCATTCCGCCTCGGAGGCGGATCCGGCTCCGGGCGTGACCACCACCTATTCTCCGCCTCTCTGTTGCGCCCCTGGTCAGGTCTGGACCTCGGCGCGCTGCTTCCCCTCTCCTTCCTCCCACGACGTACCAAGCCCTGTCTGGACCCTGGTGTGGGAGACCCCGAACCTGGAGAGGGGCTGACGTCTGGGTCTGGACTGGAACCGCTGACTGGAGCTGGACCCGACGACGGTGGATCGAACTGCTCTGACTCCGGAGTGGAGCCGCTGACCGGAGCTGGATCAGGCACCGGTGGAGCGGACTGCTCTGGCTCCGGAGTGGAGCGGCTGACCGGAGCTGGACCGGACCCCGGTGGAGCGGATTGCTCTGGCTCCGGAGTGGAGCCGCTGACCGGAGCTGGACTGGACCCCGGTGGAGCGGATTGCTCTGGCTCCGGAGTGGAGCAGCTGACCGGTGCCGGACCAGGCACCGGTGGAACAGGCACGGGCCGTGCCGGACTGGACACACGCACCACTGGCTTGGTGCGGGGAGCAGGAACGGGACGTACCGGACTGGCGACGCGCACCACTGGCTTGGTGCGAGGGGCAGGAACAGGCCGGACCGGGCTGGCGACGCGCCCCACTGGCTTGGTGCGAGGGCCAGGAACAGGCCGGACCGGGCTGGCGACGCGCACCACTGACTTGGTGTGAGGGGCAGGAACAGGCCGGACCGGGCTGGCGACGCGCACCACTGGCTTGGTGCGAGGGGCAGGAACAGGCCAGGCCGGGCTGGCGACGCACACCACTGGTTTGGTGCGAGGGGCAGTAACAGGCCGGGCCGGGCTGGCGACGTGCACCACTGGCTTGGTGCAAGGGACAGGGACAGGCCGGACCGGGCTGGCGACGCGCACCACTGGCTTGATGCGAGGAGCAGGAACGAGCCGGACCGTACTGGGAACACGCACCACTGGCTTAATGCGGGGAGCAGGAACGGGCCGGACCGGACTGGCGACACGCACCACTTGCTTGGTGCGAGGAGCGGGACTGGGTTCCTTTATAAACCCCCGCTCCTTCTGCTGCCTAACCAGCTCCTCTCACCTTGCCTCTACACTCTCCTTCTCCCTTATTGCCTCCTGTAGCGCCTCCCTCTGACCTAATAACTTCTGCTCCCTCTGAACCAATAGCCCCCTTAACCTGGTGGCCTCCTCTCCTAACCTGCAGATCCGCCCTGTCGCTGCCTCCTGCTGCCTCGTCGTCCACACCGTGTGCCCCCCAAAAAAACTTTCTTGGGGTTGCCTCTCGGGTCTCCGTCGTCGGCACTGTTGGCGCCGTTTCTCCTCTCCTACCTGGGCATCCTCATTCATCGCCCTCTGGTAACGGACGGCCTCTTCCTCCGTGATTCTCCCCCAACCGAGGAGGACATCTACTAAAGTAACCTCCTGTTTAATTCCCGGCGTTTGCTCCTGAACACGCTGCTTGGTCCTATTTTGGTGGGATCTTCTGTCACGATCGTTTACGAACGAGACGGACCAAGGCGCAGCGTGATAAGCATACATGTTTATTAACGAATAAACACCACGACAAAAACAACAAACGAAACGTGAAGTCCAAGGTAGCACACTAACATACCCAAGACACGGAACAAGATCCCACAACTAACTAATGCCAAAAGGCTGCCTAAGTATGGTCCCCAATCAGAGACAACGATCTACAGCTGCCTCTGATTGGGAACCACCACGGCCAACATAGATCTACACATTCTAGATCTAACACATAGAAAACCACATAGCAAACCCAACACAGAAAATACACACCCTGACTCAACAAATACAAGTCCTCAGAGTCAGGGCGTGACAATCTATTACATTATTTATGTTTATTTAGTATTGTAGGGCAACATATAATGACAGAAGAGAAGTTACATGCATCTAATTATAGACAAGTTGACTAACAAATACCCTACCGAAATGTCGGAAATTATAAGCAGAAACATATCTAAATCAGGCAACAACAAAAAAAATCATTTTCTATATTTGCGGGATAGGGTTGGGTGCAGATTTTCACTTTATCACATATAATCGGGCGGTTGCGGATGGATTATTAGCAATTGTGGGTGAACAAACAGCTGACCCGCGCACCACTATTACTTGTATCTAACAGCCGACCTATCAGCTTGCTGCCAGCTCTTAGCAAACTGTTGGAAAAAATGGTGTTTGACCAAATACAATGCTATTTCTCCGTAAACAAATTACTTTCAGCATGCTTATTGAGAAGGGCACTCAATATGTACTGCACTGACACAAATGACTGATGATTGGTTGAAAGAAATTGATAATAAGAAGATTGTGGGAGTTGTACTGTTAGATTTCAGCGCAGCCTTCGATATTATTGACCATAACCTGTTGTTGAAAAAACGTACAGTACCAGTCAAAAGTTTGGACACACCTACTCATTCAAGGGTTTTTCTTTATTATTACTATTTTCTACATTATAGAATAATAGTGAAAACATCAAAACTATTAAATAACACATATGGAATCATGTAGTAACCAAAACAGTGTTAAACAAATCAAAATATATTTTATATTTGAGATTCTTCAAAGTAGCCACCCTTTGCCTTGATGACAGCTTTGCACACTCTTGGCATTCTCTCAACCTGCTTCATGAGGAATGCTTTTCCAACAGTCTTGAAGGAGTTCCCACATATGCTGAGCACTTGTTGGCTGCTTTTCCTTCACTCTGCGATCCAACTCATCCCAAACCATCTCATTGTATTTGGTACAAAAAAACTCAGCTGAATATGGTAATGAATAGTGTGGCTGTTGACCAAGTTGAGGAGACTAAATTACTTGGTGTTACCTTAGATTGTAAACTGTCATGGTCAAAACATAGATTCAATGGTTGTAAAGATGAGGAGAGGTCTGTCTGTGCTTTTTTGACACCACCCTCCACAAATAAAGTCCCACAGGCTCTAGTTTTATCTTATCTTGAATATTGTCCAGTCAAATGTTCAACTGCTGCAAAGAAGGGCCTAGTTAAGCTGCAGCTGGCCCAGAACAGAGCAGCACATCTTGCTCTTCATTATAATCAAAGGGCTAATATCAATACAAGACTGACTAAATCACTTCTTGTTTTTATTATTTTTAAACAATGTGTTGGAAACTCCGAATTGTTTGCATAGTCAACTTACACACAGCTCTGACACACACACTTACCCCACCACACATGCCACCAGGGGTCTTTTCACAGTCCCCAGGCCCAGAACAAATTCAAGAAAAATGTACAGTGTTATACAGAGCCATGATTGCATGGAACTCCCTTCCATCTCATATTGCACAAGTGAACAGCAAACCTGGTTTTAAAAAACAAATACAGCAACACCTCATGGCACAACGCCTCTCCCCCATGTGACCTACTTTTTGTGTGTATGTTCTGACATGTATGTGTAACTGATAGATACACACACACACACACACACACTAAATTTTTTAAAATATTTTTTATTTCACCTTTATTTAACCAGGTAAGCCAGTTGAGAACAAGTTCTCATTTACAACTGCGACCTGGCCATTATGAGAACATGTTAATGTTTTAAATGTATGTAAATAGTAAAGTATTTTGTCTGTAATGTCTTTTTTGTTACGTGTCGGACCCCAGTAAGACTAGCTGTTGCTGTTAGCGTCGGCTAATGGGGATCCTAATCAAATCGAAGCTTTTACCACAGAAGCTCACAGAATGGTACCGCCGAGTGCTGAAGCGCTTAAAAACTGTCTGTCCTCGGTTGCAACACTCACTACCGAGTTCCAAACTGCCTCTGGAAGCAAAGTCAGCACAATAACTGTTTGTCGGGAGCTTCATGAAATGGGTTTCCATGGCCGAGCAGCTGCACACAAGCCTAAGATCACCATGTGCAAGGCCAAGCGTTGGCTGGAGTGATGTAAAGTTTGCCGCCATTGGACTCTGGAGCAGTGGAAACACGTTATCTGGAGTGATGAATCACGCTTCACCATCTGGTAGTCCGACGGACAAATCTGGGTTTGGTGGATGCCAGGAGAATGCTACCTGCCCCAATGCATAGTGCCAACTGTCAAGTTTGGTGGAGGAGGAATAATGTTCTGGGGCTGTTTTTCATGGTTCGGGCTACGCCCCTTAGTTCCAGTGAAGGGAAATGACAATTGTGTGCTTCCAACTTTGTTGCAACAGTTTGGGGGAGGCCCTATTTCAGCATGACAATGCCCCCATGCACAAAGCAAGATGAATTGGAACGCCGATTGCGAGCCAGGCCTAATCGCCCAACATCAGTGCCCGACCTCACTAATGCTCTCGTGGCTGAATGGAAGCAAGTCCCCGCAGCAATGTTCCAACATCTAGTGGAAAGCCTACTCAGAAGAGTGGAGGCTATAATAGCAGCAAAGGGGGGACAAACTCCATATTAATGACCATGAATTTGGTTTGACAAGTAGGTGTCCACATACTTTTGGTAATGTAGTGTATTTTCTGTTTTAGATCAGAGTGAGTGTTAGCAATTTTCTATTTGGTATGTACAAATTACATATAGTGCCTTCAGAAAGTATTCATACCCCTTGACCTATTCCACATTTTGTTGTGTTACAGCCTGAATTCAAAATCATTTATATAAAAACATTTCTCATCCATCTACACACAATACCCCATAATGACAAAGTGAAAACATGTTTTTAGAAATTTTAGCTAATTTATTGAAAATGAAATGTAGAAATATCTCACACCCCTAAATCAATACTTTGTAGAAACACCTTTGGCAGCGATTACAGCTGTGAGTCTTTCTGGGTAAGTCTCTAAGAGCTTTCCACGCCTGGATTGTGCATTTGCCCATTATTCTTAAAAAAGTTATTCAAGCTCTGTCAAATTGGTTGTTGATCATTGCTAGACAACCATTTTCAGGTCTTGCCGTAGATTTTCAAGTAGATTTAAGTCAAAACTGTAACTTGGAAAAGTGAATTCATCTCCCAGTGTCGGTGGAAAGCAGGCTGAACCAAGTTGTATTCTATATCATGATGCAGCCACCACTTGTACTCAGTAATGTGTTGTATTGGATTTGCCCCAAACATAACACTTTGTATTCAGGACAAAAAGTAAATTGCTTTGCCACATTTTTTGCACTATTACTTTAGTGCCTGGATGCATGTTTTGGAATATTTGTATTCTGTACAGGCTTCCTTCTTTTCACTCTGTCAATTAGGTTAGTATTGTGGAGTAACTACAATGTTGTTGATCAATCCTCAGTTTTCTCCTATCACAGCCATTGAACTCTGTAACTGTTTTAAAGTCAACGTTGGCCTAATGGTGAAATCCCTGAGCAGTTTCCTTCCTCTCTGACAACTGAGTTAGGAAAGACGCCTGTATCTTTGTAGTGACTGGGTGTATTGATACACCAAGTGTAATTAATAACTTCACCACGCTCAAAGGGATATTGAATGTCTGCTTTAAACATTTTTTTACCCATCTACCAATAGGTGCCCTTTGCGAGGAATTGGAAAACCTCCCTGGTCTTTGTGGTTGAATCTGTGTTTAAAATTCACTGCTCTGCTGCGGGACCTTACAGATAATTGTGTAGGGTACAGAGATGAGGTAGTCATTAAAAAATCATGTTAAACACTATTATTGCACACAGAGTCCATGCAACTTATTATGTGACTTGTTAAGCACATTTTTACTCCTGAACTTATTTAGGCTTGCTATAACAAAGGGGTTGAATACTTATTGACTCAATACATTTTTTATTTCCATTTTTTATTAATTTGTAAACAATTTGTAAAACATAATTCCACTTTGACATTATGGGGTATTGTGTGTAGGCCAGTGACAAAGAAATCTCAATCCATTTTAAATTCAGGCTGTACACAACAAAATGTGGGAAAGGTCAAAGGGTGTGAATACTTTCTGAAGGCTCTGTCTGTATGAGAAAACAGCTCTCCAGGAATCAGTCATTCACCTCCCTGACTTATCAGCCTGATGGCCACCTGTCCATACACTGTCTATCTTGTTATACATATGTTGCACACACACTCAGTCCCGTTTCCACTTCCACACGCATGCATTCAGTCTTCAGAGCCTTGTCTACACACACGTCAGTCATTGGGAAAGGTGCGTGTGTTTGTGTGGTTGTCATGGCCCAGTAGAGCTGCCATCGTGCTGTAGGGTCAGTGGCTTTACTTACAGAGTGGAGCACCGTCTGGCATGGGATTAGGTGACATCACACGCCTGACTAGACCTGCCATCACTACCCTTCATCTCACCTTGTTCACTGTCCACAGCACATACTTAACATTTATCGTGTGTGTACGTTTATCTCAGTGTTTTAACCTGTCTCTCTTACATAATTAATTCCCCTCAGTCAGACACAACCTTAAACACTGCCGCCTTATCACAGTCAGTCACCAGCCACCGCTGGCTACACAGTGGTTATGTCATCAACACACACATTAGAGATCAACAGCTCAGTCAGTCACACAGACAGAAACGCCAGAGGGTCTGGTGCGGTGTGTCTTGTGCTGCCCTACCAGACATAGCCTCCAGGTGAGAGTGAGGTGAGGTGTCTGGTTTCAGAGGGGAAAACAACTGCAGTTCAGTTCTACCATCCTTTGTGATGTAATTCAGTACCATTCCGTTTGGTTTGTAAGTGACCTTTTAGAGGTCATTTGAGTACATTGTAAATGAGTATGGTCCAGTTTCTTAACATATCAACCAGGAGTACTTGTCCTCAATTCCAAAGCTGCTGAATGGAAAAATAACTCATTTCTGATAACTTTTATTTCCAAGGTTATGGCATAATACACTGTTTACATAATAACCAGTAGGGTTTGTGGACAGAGCACTCAAACAAAAGGAACGCATTACTGAACTACCAGTAAACCATTCTTACAGTGAGGGGAAAAAAGTATTTGATCCCCTGCTGATTTTGTACGTTTGCCCACTGACAAAGACATGATCAGTCTATAATTTTAATGGTAGGTTTATTTGAACAGTGAGAGACAGAATAACAACAAAGAAATCCAGAAAAACGCATGTAAAAAAAATATATAAATTTATTTGCATTTTAATGAGGGAAATAAGTATTTGACCCCTCTGCAAAACATGACTTAGTACTTGGCGGCAAAACCCTTGTTGGCAATCACAGAGGTCAGACGTTTCTTGTAGTTGGCCACCAGGTTTGCACACATCTCAGGAGAGATTTTGTCCCACTCCTCTTTGCAGATCTTCTCCAAGTCATTAAGGTTTCGAGCCTGACGTTTGGCAACTCGAACCTTCAGCTCCCTCCACAGATTTTCTATGGGATTAAGGTCTGGAGACTGGCTAGGCCACTCCAGGACCTTAATGTGCTTCTTCTTGAGCCACTCCTTTGTTGCCTTGGCCGTGTGTTTTGGGTCATTGTTATGCTGGAATACCCATCCACGACCCATTTTCAATGCCCTGGCTGAGGGAAGGAGCTTCTCACCCAAGATTTGACGGTACATGGCGCCGTCCATCGTCCCTTTGATGCGGTAAAGTTGTCCTGTCCCCTTAGCAGAAAAACACCCCCAAAGCATAATGTTTCCACCTCCATGTTTGACAGTGGGGATGGTGTTCTTGTGGTCATAGGCAGCATTCCTCCTCCTCCAAACACGGCGAGTTGAGTTGATGCCAAAGAGCTCAATTTTGGTCTCTTCTGACCACAACACTTTCACCCAGTTCTCCTCTGAATCATTCAGATGTTCATTGGCAAACTTCAGACGGGCCTGTATATGTGCTTTCTTGAGCAGGGGGACCTTGCGGGCGCTGCAGGATTTCAGTCCTTCACGGCGTAGTGTGTTACCAATTGTTTTCTTGGTGACTATGGTCCCAGCTGCCTTGAGATCATTTACAAGATCCCCCCGTGTAGTTCTGGGCTGATTCCTCACCGTTCTCATGATCATTGCAACTCCACGAGGTGAGATCTTGCATGGAGCCCCAGGCCGAGGGAGATTGACAGTTATTTTGTGTTTCTTCCATTTGCGAATAATCGCACCAACTGTTGTCACCTTCTCACCAAGCTGCTTGGAGATGGTATTGTAGCCCATTCCAGCCTTGTGTAGGTCTACAATCTTGTCCCTGAGATCCTTGGAGAGCTCTTTGGTCTTGGCCATGGTGGAGAGTTTGGAATCTGATTGATTTATTGCTTCTGTGGACAGGTGTCTTTTATACAGGTAACAAGCTGTGATTAAGAGCACTCCCTTTAAGTGTGCTCCTAATCTCAGCTCGTTACCTGTATAAAAGACACCTGGGAGCCAGAAATCTTTCTGATTGAGAGGGGGTCAAATACTTATTTCCCTCATGAAAATGCAAATCAATTTATAACATTTTTGACATTTGACATGATTTTTTTGTTGTTATTCTGTCTCTCACTGTTCAAATAAACCTACCATTACAATTATAGACTGATCATTTCTTTGTCAGTAGGCAAACGTACAAAATCAGCAGGGGATCAAATACTTTTTTCCCTCACTGTATACTGCCTCATAACATTGACACAAATGATGCTATTATTATTAAAAGCTTTCTGCTGTGTTCTTGTGTTGTTGATGATTACAGTTGGAGTCTGACAGTTAGGTTGATTAAAACTAAAAACATTGGGGGCTTGGCTGATTCATTTCCACAGAAGAGTTATAAATACCTCTGAAACATTAGGCCTCCTCTGTAGAGACCACAGAAGAGTTATAAATACCTCTGAAACATTAGGCCTCCTCTGTAGAGACCACAGAAGAGTTATAAATACCTCTGAAACATTAGGCCTCCTCTGTAGAGACCACAGAAGAGTTATAAATACCTCTGAAACATTAGGCCTCCTCTGTAGAGACCACAGAAGAGTTATAAATACCTCTGAAACATTACAGGGTTTGCACAAGGTGCTTAAAGTACTTGAATTTGGCACTCTGAAATTCAAGTACTGGAATACCTTGCAAATCAGACATTTTCTCAAGTTGGTACTTGAAAAGTACTTGAATTAAAATGAGAGGAGAACAGATAATGATGAAATATGTTTATGAAAAATATTAGAACAATTTGTCAATTGTGACACACCTTTCATGCATAAAAATCCAGCCATGGTGGTCTTTCTCACTATAAAAAGAGACAATTGTTTACTGTGTACTCTCCACACATCTCTCCTCTCCATACAGTGGGGGAAAAAAGTATTTAGTCAGCCACCAATTGTGCAAGTTCTCCCACTTAAAAAGATGAGAGAGGCCTGTAATTTTCATCATAGGTACACGTCAACTATGACAGACAAAATGAGGAAAAAAAATCCAGAAAATCACATTGTAGGATTTTTAATGAATTTATTTGCAAATTATGGTGGAAAATAAGTATTTGGTCAATAACAAAAGTTTCTCAATACTTTGTTATATACCCTTTGTTGGCAATGACACAGGTCAAACGTTTTCTGTAAGTCTTCACAAGGTTTTCACACACTGTTGCTGGTATTTTATCCCATTCCTCCATGCAGATCTCCTCTAGAGCAGTGATGTTTTGGGGCTGTCGCTGGGCAACACAGACTTTCAACTCCCTCCAAAGATTTTCTATGGGGTTGAGATCTGGAGACTGGCTAGGCCACTCCAGGACCTTGAAATGCTTCTTACGAAGCCACTCCTTCGTTGCCCAGGCGGTGTGTTTGGGATCATTGTCATGCTGAAAGACCCAGCCATGTTTCATCTTCAATGCCCTTGCTGATGGAAGGATGTTTTCACTCAAAATCTCACGATACATGGCCCCATTCATTCATTCCTTTACACGGATCAGTCGTCCTGGTCCCTTTGCAGAAAAACAGCCCCAAAGCATGATGTTTCCACCCCCATGCTTCACAGTAGGTATGGTGTTTTTTGGATGCAACTCAGCATTCTTTGTCCTCCAAACACGACGAGTTGAGTTTTTACCAAAAAGTTCTATTTTGGTTTAATCTGACCATATGACATTCTCCCAATCCTCTTCTGGATCATCCAAATGCACTCTAGCAAACTTCAGACGGGCCTGGACATGTACTGGCTTAAGCAGGGGCACACGTCTGGCACTCCATGATTTGAGTCCCTGGCGGCGTAGTGTGTTACTGATGGTAGGCTTTGTTACTTTGGTCCCAGCTCTCTGCAGGTCATTCACTAGGTCCCCCCGTGTGGTTCTGGGATTTTTGCTCACCGTTCTTGTGATCATTTTGACCCCACGGGGTGAGACCTTGCGTGGAGCCCCAGATCGAGGGAGATTATCAGTGGTCTTGTATGTCTTCCATTTCCTAATAATTGCTCCCACAGTTGATTTCTTCAAATCAAGCTGCTTACCTATTGCAGATTCAGTCTTCCCAGCCTGGTGCAGGTCTACAATTTTGTTTCTGGTGTCCTTTGACAGCTCTTTGGTCTTGGCCATAGTGGAGTTTGGAGTGTGACTGTTTGAGGTTGTGGACAGGTGTCTTTTATACTGATAACAAGTTCAAACAGGTGCCATTAATACAGGTAACGAGTGGAGGACAGAGGAGCCTCTTAAAGAAGAAGTTACAGGTCTGTGAGAGCCAGAAATCTTGCTTGTTTGTAGGTGACCAAATACTTATTTTCGACCATAATTTGCAAATAAATTCATAAAAAATCCTACAATGTGATTTTCTGGAAGTTTTTTTCTCAATTTGTCTGTCATAGTTGACGTGTACCTATGATGAAAATGACAGGCCTCTCTCATCTTTTTAAGTGGGAGAACTTGCACAATTGGTGGCTGACTAAATACTGTTTTTCCCCACTGTATCTCCATACATCCCTGAGAGAGACAGAGAGGGAGATGGAGAGGTGTTTCAGACTAACCGAAGCGTGAAGCCACATCTGATGCGACAGGCAGCTCAGTGTGACGTGGGAGTAACTTAGAAAGGAGGGCAGAGCCATCGGTCCACACTGAAACCTGCCATCGCTCTATGGTTACATAAACACCACAGCACAGATTAGGGACGGGGGCGTTCAGCAGATTCCTCTCTTTCTTTCCCTGTTATGTAACGTTCCGATGGGAACGAAGAGAGAGGAGGAAAGAAACAAGCGTCCTCAGTGTCTCTAATGGGAGATGATATAGAGGGCCACTTTGTGTGCGTGTGCACATGGATTCCATTGGTCCTGCAGTTAGAGACGTACTGTATACAGGTCGGACCAAAACTCTAATCTGAAGAGAAGACTGTGGTTGTTTGCCTGTTGTGTACATTCTGTACAACATTACAGTAAACACACGGCTGGTCAAATGCTGACAAAACCATACGTGTAAAATTAGGTAACCCCATGGAGAACAGTCGTGTTTTTGGTCCACATTCAAATCAAATCAAATTGTATTTGTCACATGCGCCAAATACAACAGGTGTAGTAGACCTTACAGTGAAATGCTTCCTTACAAGCCCTTAACCAACAATGCAATTTTAAGATAGATTACCCCCAAAAAAAGACCAGAAAAACATTTTATTTTTATTTTTTATAAGAAATAAAAGTAACAAATAATTAAAGAGCAGCAGTAAAATAACAGTAGCGAGGCAATATACAGGGGGTACCAGTACAGAGTCAATATGCGGGGGCACCGGTTAGTCGAGGTAATTAAGATAATAGGTACATGTAGTTATTAAAGTGACTATGCATAGATAATAAACAGAGAGTAGCAGCAGCGTAAAAGAGGAGGGGGTGGGCAATGCAAATAGTCCGGGTAGCCATTTGATTAGATGTTCAGGAGTCTTATGGCTTGGGGGTAGAAGCTGTTTAGAAGCCTCTTGGACCTAGACTTGGCGCTCCGGTAACGCTAGACGTGCGGTAGCAGAGAGAACAGTCTATGACTAGGGTGGCTGGAGTCTTTGACCATTTTTAGGGCCTTCCTCTGACACCGCCTGGTATAGAGGTCCTGGATGGCAGGAAGCTTGGCCCCAGTGATGTACTGGGCCGTACGCACCACCCTCTGTAGTTCTCAATGTGTGCGTGTGTGTGTACGTGCGTGCGTGCGCTCTCGCTCGCTCAGCCATCTAAAGAGGGCACGGTCTCCCATTGACTTCTACTGTGCCTTGGGGCAGGAGTCACTGGACTACTCCATTCATTTTCACAGGGAGGGACACTTTCTGGATAGTGGCATTGCTCTGTCTCTCTCCCTCTCACTCTGTCTCCTCTATTCTCTCTCTCCTCTATTCTCTATCTCTCTCTCTTCTATTTTCTCCTATCTCTCTCTTCTCTATTCTCTCTCCTCTCTCTCCTCTATTCTCTCTCTCCTCTATTCTCTCTCTCATCTATTCTCTCCTCTATTCCCTCTCTCCTCTATTCTCTCTCTCCTCTCCTCTCTCTCCTCTTCTCTCTCTCCTCTATTCCCTCTCTCTCTCCTCTATTCCCTCTCTTTCTCCTCTATTCTCTCTCTATGCTCACCCAGTAGATATGGGAGTTAATCAACATTGGGTTTGTTTTCAAATTCTTTGTGGATCGCTGTAATCTGAGGGAAATATGTGTCTCTAATATGGTCATACATTTGGCAGGAGGTTAGGAAGTGCAGCTCTGTTTCCACCTCATTTTGTGGGCAGTGTGCACATAGCCTGTCTTCTCTTGAGAGCCAGGTCTGCCTACGGTGGCCTTTCTCAATAGCAAGGCTATGCTCACTGAGTCTGTACATAGTCAAAGCTTCCATTAAGTTTGGGTCAGTCACAGTGGTCAGGTATTCTGCCACTGTGTACTCTCTGTTTAGGGCCAAATAGCATTCTAGTTTGTTCTGTTTTTATGTTAATTCTTTCCAATGTGTCTCTTTTAGTTTTTTCATGATTTGTTTGGGTCTAAATGTGTTGTTAATAATAATAATAATAATAATATGCCATTTAGCAGACGCTTTTATCCAAAGCGACTTACAGTCATGCGTGCATACATGTTTTGTGTATGGGTGGTCCCGGGGATCGAACCCACTACCTTGGCGTTACAAGCGCCGTGCTCTACCAGCTGAGCTACAGCTGAGCTACTGTTGTCCTGGGGCTCTGTGGGGTCTGTTCGTGTTTGTGAACAGAGCCCCAGGACCAGCTTGCTTAGGGGACTCTTCTCCAAATTCATCTCTCTGTAGGTGATGGCTTTGTTATGGAAGGTTTGGGAATCGCTTCCTTTTAAGTGGTTATAGAATTTAACGGCTCTTTTCTGGATTTTGATAATTAGCGGGTATCGGCCTAATTCTGCTCTGCATGCATTATTTAGTGTTTTTCGTTGTACACGGAGGACATTTTTGCAGAATTCTGCAAGCAGAGTCTCAATTTGGTGTTTGTCCCATTTTGGGAATTATTGGTTGGTGAGCGGACTCCAGACCTCACAACCATAAAGGGCAATGGGTTCTATAACTGATTCAAGTATTTTTAGCCAGATCCTAATTGGTATGTCGAATTTTATGTTCCTTTTGATGGCATAGAAGGCCCTTCTTGCCTTGTCTCTCAGTTCGTTCACAGCTTTGTGGAAGTTACCTGTGGCGCTGATGTTTAGGCCAAGGTATGTATAATTTTTTGTGTGCTCTAGGGCAACGGTGTCTAGATGGAATTTGTATTCGTGGTCCTGGCAACTGGACCTTTTTTGGAACACCATTATTTTTGTCTTACTGAGATTTACTGTGAGGGCCCAGGTCTGACAGAATCTGTGCAGAAGATCTAGGTGCTGCTGTAGGCCCTCCTTGGTTGGTGACAGAAGCACCAGATCATCAGCAAACAGTAGACATTTGACTTCAGATTCTAGTAGGGTGAGACCGGGTGCTGCAGACCATTCTAGTGCCCTCGCCAATTCGTTTATATATATGTTGAAGAGGCTGGGGCTTAAACTGTATCCCTGTCTCACCCCACGGCCCTGTGGAAAGAAATGTGTGTGTTTTTTGCCAATTTTAACTGCACACTTGTTGTTTGTGTACATTGATTTTATAATGTCAAATGTTTTTTCCCCAACTCCACTTTCCATCAATTTGTATAGCAGACCCTCATGCCAAATTGAGTCAAAAGCTTTTTTGAAATCAACAAAGCATGAGAAGACTTTGCCTTTTTTTTGGTTGGTTTGTTTGTCAATTAGGGTGTGCAGGGTGAATACGTGGTCTGTCGTATGGTAATTTGGTAAAAAAACAATTTGACATTTGCTCAGTACATTGTTTTCACTGAGGAAATTAACTAGTCTGCTGTTAATTATAATGCAGAGGATTTTCCCAAGGTTGCTGTTGACGCATATCCCATGGTAGTCCTTGGGGTCAAATGTATCTCAACTTTTGTGGATTGGGGTGATCAGTCCTTGGTTCCAAATATTGGGGAAGATGCCAGAGCTAAGGATGATGTTAAAGAGTTTAAGTATAGCCAATTGGAATATGTGGTCTGTATATTTTATCATTTCATTGAGGATACCATCAACACCAAAGGCCTTTTTGGGTTGGAGGGTTTGTATTTTGTCCTGTAGTTCATCCAATATCATTGGAGAATCCAGTGGGTTCTGGTAGTCTTTAATAGTTGATTCTAAGATTTGTATTTGATCATGTATATTTTTTTGCTGTTTGTTCTTTGTTATAGGCCAAAAAGATTGGAGAGGTGGTTTACCCATACATCTCCGTTTTGGATAGATAGCTCTTCGTGTTGTTTGTTTAGTGTTTTCCAATTTCCCCAGAAGTGGTTAGAGTCTATGGATTCTTCAATTACATTGAGCTGATTTCTGACATGCTGTATTTCTGTATTGTTTTAGTGATTCACCACAGTGAAGGCGTAGGCTCAGGTTTTCTGGGTCTCTATGTTTTTGGTTGGATAGGTTTCTCAATTTCTTTCTTAGGTTTTTGCATTCTTCATCAAACCATTTGTCATTGTTGTTACTTTTCTTCGGTTTTCTGTTAGAGATTTTTTGATTTGATAGGGAAGCTGAGAGGTCAAATATACTGTTTAGGTTTTCTACTGCCAAGTTTACACCTTCACTATTACAGTGGAACGTTTTGTCCAGGAAGTTGTCTAGAAGGGATTGAATTTGTTGTTGCCTAATTGTTTTTTGGTAGGTTTCCACACTACTTTCCTTCCTTTATAGCATTTCTTAATATTATTCAATTCCTTTGGCTTTGATGCCTCATGATTTGAGTATTGCTCTGTTCAAGTAGACTGTGATTTTGCTGTGGTCTGATAGGGGTGTCAGTGGGCTGACTGTGAACGCTCTGAGAGACTCTGGGTTGAGGTCAGTGCTAAAGTAGTCTACAGTACTACTGCCAAGAGATGAACTATAGGTGTACCTACCATAGGAGTCCCCTCGAAGCCTACCATTGACTATGTACATACCCAGCGTGCGACAGAGCTGCATGAGTTGTGACCCGTTGTTGTTGGTTATGTTGTTGTAGTTGTGCCTAGGGGGGCATATGGGGGAGGGAATGCTGTCACCTCCAGGTAGGTGTTTGTCCCCCTGTGTGCTGAGGGTGTCAGGTTCTTGTCCAGTTCTGGCATTTAGGTCACCACAGACTAGTATGTCCCTGGGTCTGGAAATGATTGATTTCCCCCTCCAGGATGGAGAAGCTGTCTTCATTAAAGTATGGGGATTGAAGTGGGGTTATATAGGTAGCACACAGGAGGACATTTTTCTCTGTTGAGATCATTTCCTTTTGAATTTCTAGCCAAATGTAAAATGTTCCTGTTTTGATTAATTTAATAGAGTGAGTTAGATCTTCTCTATACCAAATTAGCATACCCCCTGAGTCCCTTCCCTGTTTCACACCTGGTAGTTTGGTGGATGGGACTACCAGCTCTCTGTAACCTAGAGGGCAACCAGTGGGTCCGTCTCCTTTATACCATGTTCTCTCCCTCTTCTCTCTCCCCATCTCTTCTGCAGCCTCTCAGCGCGAGAAATCGCACACCGCTCGCCAGGGCGAGGCCAGCGCGCGCAGGCGCGGCCCTTAGCCGCCCGCCACGAGCGGCCCGAGTAGCGAGCGCCCAGGCCGCGCCGGGCGCGCGGGCGCCCGCGAGGCCGGCGAGCGTCGGAGCGAGGTCGCGCGGGAGGCCCGAGAGGAGCGGATGAGCGCGCGCGCCGCGCGAGAGCGAGACGAGCGCATGCGCGAGAAGGCGAGGCGCGAGGGCGCGCGCGAGGCCGCGCGCGCCGAGACGAGAGAGCGAGGCCAGCGCGCGAGGCCGCAGAGCGCAGCGCGACGCGAGGCGCGCGAGCGAGCGAGCAGAGAGGCGCGCGCGGCAGCAGAGAGGAAACGAGGCGCGAGCGAGAGGGGCGCGAGGAGGCGCGACGAGAGGCGCGAGAGCGAGGCAAGAGGAAAGGGAGCGCGAGCGAGAGGAGCGGGACGCGAGGGGGAGAAGAGAGACGGGCGGAAGCTGGAGGAGCGCAGCGCAGAGAGACGAGGAGAGAGAGAGAGAGAGATGCTGGCGAGCGAGAGAGCGAGCGCGAGGAGAGAGAGCGAGCGAGAGGAGCGGCGAGTCTCTCCACTCTAGTCCTCCTCTTAGCCTCTCTAACTATGCGCGATCTCTCTATGACTCTTATATCCTCTCGTCCTAATCTCTACTCTTCTCTCTCGCTCAGTCTCTCTATCTCCCTCATCTTCTTGCTCTCTCTATTCTCTTCTCCCCCCCTCCCCCCTCCCCTTCGTCTTTCTTTCCCCTTGTCCTCTTTCTTCCTTTTTCTCTTTGTCTGACCCGTGTGTGTTTTGTATCAGGCCTGTGTTTGTGTGTGTGTGTTCTAGCTCTGACGTGTGTGTGTTCACAGGGAGAAGCTGCGTGTGGGGGGGACCCAGTTGGCAGAGCTGAACGTCAGTCTGGAGCGCTGCGCTGAGGTCATGTCCCGGCAGGTCACACCAAGCACCTGGCCCTGATTGGACCACAACCAGGAAGTTTGGACGAGAACATCCAACCAGAGGCCTCAAATTGCATCATATCACAACTCAACAACTTTACTTGAAGCCACTGTTTTCATATGGAGCTGACCTATTTAATTCAGGACCTTTTCTGACTGAATTTAGTTTCTTGTGTGTGGATGTTGGTTTAGAGCAGTGGTCACCAACCGGTTGATCGCCAAGGCATTCTTTGTCTCCAAACATTGCTGTAAAAAACCCAATGATAAATCCTTGCATTCCTATTGTTTTATTTGTGGGCTGCTTCCCAAAAGCCCCATAGGGCTCTGGTCAAAAGTAGTGCACTATATAGGGAATAGGGTGTCTTTTGGGACACATCCATGATGTTTCTGGTGCTTCCTACAGTAGCCATTTTGGGCCTCCATCTCCACACAAGAGTGTGTTAATGGGGATATGGATCTTCCAAATGTTTTCTTATCCTCACACAAACCAGGTTTCCACCCAACCATTTCATGCAGATGAATTACCTGAAGCATGAAAAAAGTAACTACCGGTCTGATGGAAACAGGATATGCCAGACAATTTGTTCGTTCGACATGGTGGGATCTTTTTGTTTCTGTAAAATTAATTATGAGAGAAATTGTGGTGGAAATGCCTTTATTTGCTAATGTTGATATAATAACCATCATATCAAAGTAAACTTGGAGTCACGCGATGACATGTTGTGTGGTCCTCCCATTACGACTCGGGAAACCATGCAGTTTATTAGGCTACAGATGAAATAAGTTAGGATGAACTTCACAGGGTTGTGAAAGTGCACGTGATGAGCTTGATGCTCCTTTCCAATAAATATCAAGGGTCTTACTCTGGTGACATGATGATCGATGTGGCTCCGTAATAATCTCATCATGTAGGTAGCCTTCCCACACTGTGTCTGCAGCAGTTGGCTAGAGCGCATGTGCCAAGACCAGAGTGGGTACATTTGCTATATAACGCAACAGTTTTTGTGACAAAACCATCAGTAGAGTTAAAAATGCGATGGAAACCCATTTAACTTGTATTTTTCATTCGGTACGTGGGAATTTAACCGCAAACCTTATTTTTATGTGCACTACGTCATCACGCACAGACTGATAGAAACATCTCTGGTGGGGAAAATGCGCATATTATTTTATGCAGATTTAAGAATATTCTAATGAAAATCTGTCGTAAATTGGATGGAAACCTAGCAACTGGATTGGAATGTTTACACATACAGAATGGCAGTTCTTTATGACACGTTTAAACCCTGAGTCATGCTATTCTTCCTGTTACTAGAGCCTCAGACCTTAGATTGGTGTGTGGGTTTTCACTTTCAGCTTGCTGTGCTGTTTTAATGAGGACCTACACGATAAACCCACATTCTATAGAAAATACATGACTGCCCACTTCCATTACTAGCCAACCTCATCTCCATATTCCTCAGCATTCAGGAAACAGACCATGACACCATCTTATTATTCCGTCTGCTCCATAAGTGATATGCGAGGTAATGTAATGAATGGTGATTGGCTCCACTGTCACTGCTCTCACAGGCTGTGACTTACAGTGGGAGTCAGACAGTTCAACGTGACACAAACTATGCTATCTGTCTGTTATGGCATCATGGCTCTGCTGTAGGCTTATGATATGACCATCTCAGGCCTGTGTATATATTTATCTTGGATGTGTCCATTTGTATAGATATAAATAGTTAAATTAAAGCACATATTTTTGTTTGAACAATATCATGTACAATTTCTTATATGATGCATTAATGTTTTTGAATTGAATCTCTGATTTAAGTTGCGTTATTGTCACGTTATTTGTGTCATGTCACATTACACACAACTATAAAGCATAGTATGTTGATTTAATGGCGCCGGAGAAGATGGCTGCCGTTTTACAGCCCTCTAACCAATTGTCCTATTATGTGTGTTTTTTTGCGTTATTTGTCATTTATAATAATAAATAATGTTTCTGCCACCGTCTCTTATGACCAAAAAGAGCTTCTGGATATCAGGACAGCGAGTACTCACCTCGTATTGGACAAAGATTTTTTCTTCAACGAGTCGGACGCAAAGGATATCCTACAGACACCCGACAAGGCCCAAATCCCTATCATTCGCGTGAGAAAGAGACAGAGATATCGTGGACGTAGGTCGGGGTGCCTTGTAAGGATCTGACGGCGAGCGAGTAAACTGCCTCTTCCATCAATCCTATTAGCCAATGTTCAATCATTTGAAAATAAATTGGACGACCTAAGATTAAGGTTATCCTACCAACGGGACATTAAAAACTGTAATATCTTATGTTTCATCGAGTCGTGGCTGAATGACGACATGGATAACATACAGCTGTCGGGATAGACAGTGGGGGAAAAAGTATTTAGTCAGTCACCAATTGTGCAAGTTCTCCCACTTAAAAAGATGAGAGAGGCCTGTAATTTTCATCATAGGTACACTTCAACTATGACAGACAAAATGAGATGTTTTTTTCTCCAGAAAATCACATTGTAGGATTTGTAATGAATTTATTTGCAAATTATGGTGGAAAATAAGTATTTGGTCAATAACAAAAGTTTCTCAATACTTTGTTATATGCCCTTTGTTGGCAATGACACAGGTCAAACGTTTTCTGTAAGTCTTCACAAGGTTTTCACACACTGTTGCTGGTATTTGGTCCCATTCCTCCATGCCGATCTCCTCTAGAGCAGTGATGTTTTGGGGCTGTCGCTGGGCAACACGGACTTTCAACTCCCTCCAAAGATTTTCTATGGGGTTGAGATCTGGAGACTGGCTAGGCCACTCCAGGACCTTGAAATGCTTCTTACGAAGCCACTCCTTCGTTGCCCGGGCGGTGTGTTTGGGATCATTATCATGCTGAAAGACCCAGCCACGTTTCATCTTCAATGCCCTTGCTGATGGAAGGAGGTTTTCACTCAAAATCTCACGATACATGGCCCCATTCATTCTTTCCTTTACACGGATCAGTCGTCCTGGTCCCTTTGCAGAAAAACAGCCCCAAAGCATGACGTTTCCACCCCCATGCTTCACAGTAGGTATGGTGTTCTTTGGATGCAACTCAGCATTCTTTGTCCTCCAAACACGACGAGTTGAGTTTTTACCAAAAAGTTCTATTTTGGTTTCATCCGACCATATGACATTCTCCCAATCCTCTTCTGGATCATCCAAATGCACTCTAGCAAACTTCAGACGGGCCTGGACATGTACTGGCTTAAGCAGGGGGACACGTCTGGCACTGCAGGATTTGAGTCCCTGGCGGCGTAGTGTGTTACTGATGGTAGGCTTTGTTACTTTGGTCCCAGCTCTCTGCAGGTCATTCACTAGGTCCCCCCGTGTGGTTCTGGGATTTTTGCTCACCGTTCTTGTGATCATTTTGACCCCACGGGGTGAGATCTTGCGTGGAGCCCCAGATCGAGGGAGATTATCAGTGGTCTTGTATGTCTTCCATTTCCTAATAATTGCTCCCACAGTTGATTTCTTCAAACCAAGCTGCTTACCTATTGCAGATTCAGTCTTCCCAGCCTGGTGCAGGTCTACAATTTTGTTTCTGGTGTCCTTTGACAGCTTTTTGGTCTTGGCCATAGTGGAGTTTGGAGTGTGACTGTTTGAGGTTGTGGACAGGTGTCTTTTATACTGATAACAAGTTCAAACAGGTGCCATTAATACAGGTAACGAGTGGAGGACAGAGGAGCCTCTTAAAGAAGAAGTTACAGGTCTGTGAGAGCCAGAAATCTTGCTTGTTTGTAGGTGACCAAATACTTATTTTCCACCATAATTTGCAAATAAATTCATTAAAAATCCTACAATGTGATTTTCTGGATTTTTTTTTCTCAATTTGTCTGTCATAGTTGATGTGTACCTATGATGAAAATTACAGGCCTCTCTCATATTTTTAAGTGGGAGAACTTGCACAATTGGTGGCTGACTAAATAAAATTTTCCCCACTGTACGTTCTACCTAATTTCTACCAGCATGTTAAATGTGCAACCAGAGGAAAAACAACTCTAGACCACCTTTACTCCACACACAGAGACGCGTACAAAGCTCTCCCTCGCCCTCCATTTGGCAAATCTGACCATAATTCTATCCTCCTGATTCCTGCTTATAAGCAAAAACTCTGCTTAAACCCGGATGCTTATAAGAAATCCCGCTATGCCCTCCGACGAACCATCAAACAAGCAAAGAGTCAATACAGGACTAAGATTGAATCGTACTACACCGGCTCTGACGCTCGTCGGCTGTGGCAGGTCTTGAAAACTATTACAGACTACAAAGGGAAGCAGAGCCGCGAGCTGCCCAGTGACACAAGCCTACCAGATGAGCTAAATCACTTCTATGCTCGCTTCGAGGCAAGCAACACTGAAGCATGCATGAGAGCATCAGCTGTTCCGGATGACTATGTGATCACGCTCTCCGTAGCCGATGTGAGTAAGACTTTTAAGAAGGTCAACATTCACAAGGCCGCAGGGCCAGACGGATTACCAGGACATGTACTCCGAGCATGCGCTGACCAACTGGTAAGTGTTTTCACTGACATTTTCAACATGTCCCTGACTGAGTCTGTAATACCAACATGTTTCAAGCAGACCACCATAGTCGT